TCTATGAAGCTATTTCTCAAAGATAGAATTAATAATAGCACAATTTCATAACAATCGTCAAATTGTATACTGGTAGCAAAAGCATAAATTAATGGAGCATTAAATCAAGTCACTATTATTTCAATCTCTCAATCTCACTCATAGTCTGGAACAATGAAAAAGTGTTTCACTTACCCAACTATAGTAATCTGTCTGGTGTGTTAAACATTTAAAACAGCGGTGCATGCATTAATTAAGTATGAAGAAGAAGGAAGGAAAAAAAACAGGATAAGTCGAAAGTTCAGGTTCCAAAGTTAGAGTTATTGATCAAAAATTTCTGGGTGTAGTGAAGTCACAGTGAGGCGTCGATGTCCTCATCATAGTGCTTGGCGTTGTTCTTGTTCGTCGATGTCGTTCCTGGTTCGTCTAACGTGGTGCTGTAGCTATTGGTGCATTTGAGTAGTCATCTATTGTGTCGGCAAGAGTCCAATTCGTCGTCGATGTCATCAGTACTTTGTGTTGCTGGTTGAGCTTCATAAGGGCTAATAGCGATCTGGTTGAAGTCATCTTCATCGTAAGTTTGTTGTCCTTGTCGTAGTCATGTACTTTAATTCCGATGTCGATCGTTGTCGTTGGTCGAGTTCGTAATTTGTCTGTGTTTGATGTCGTTTTCCAAGAGATGTGGATTAAAAAACTCTGCCAGTTTGTGTGTAAAAAAACTGTAAATGTTCAGTCGCTGGTTTTCCTCGATCTCATAGTGTATCGAAGAAAAAATCTTTTACATTAAAGCTGGGTTCTCCACCATGTTGTGTTGGGATCGGTGTATTGAGTTATTGGAATATTGAGAGGTACATAAAATAAAGAGATGCTGAGACTTTCTTTGAAGTGTAATATGCAAGAGTATATTTCATTATAACTCTAAAAACGATGAGTCACATAGTCCGGATTCACAAGTATATTTACAAGATATAAAGCAGACAAAGTATAGGTACTAGCTTGGTGATGGTCTGAACTCTTCTCCTCCCAGAAACCCAGAACATCTCATATTTATCCAGAAGGATACAAGTAATATGAGGGTTACATTGTGTCAAAGGGACAAAGACAAGTTCATTCTCACAGTCATTTAGCTAACACATGTAATCTGTTCTGGGAAAGGGTCTTAGGCCATTAAAAAATATATACAGTTTTAGCGTCCCCACCCGCTTCCTTTTTGGGGGCCGCCTCCTTTTTTTTTTTTTTTTTTTTTTTTTTGATTTTTGATTTTTCTCTTCTTTTTTTAAAGAAAAAAACCTGAAAAACACTGCTAAAATGGATCTATTTCTGATTTGAAAAAAAAAAAAAAAAAAATGTTGGTCGCCATCTTGAAAAATAGCCCGAATGTCAGGGAAAATGTACCGAGCGACCATTTTGAGCATCCATTTTGAAAGAAAAAAAAAAAAAAAAGGGCCTCCTCCTTCCTATTTTTCATAAAACAGGATGCTAAACATTTTTTTTTAATTTGGCCTTATCAAACAAAGGGGGCTTTGGTTATTGGGAGAAAGACAGGAAGTCTTTTGTTTTGGAGGTTTTGGGGCACTTTAAAGATGTATACAATTTGGGGTTTATTTGGCTGGAATAAGTCATTAAACAAATGTCTTGGAAGGAGGTCTGGTATTTCATAGGGTGGGTCTTATCTGTATTGGGCTATACTGAATGATATTACATATTATTACTGAGGGGGTATAGATTTGTAATACCTTTACATAACATTATGTTAAGCACTGTATAAAAATAGTAAATAAATGAACTTAAACTTCTTCTTTTTTCCCTTCTTTTTAAAACTTTTTATGGCCTGCGAATCTACCTCACACCCCTCCAGTTGAATTTCTACGCTACAACATTTTGCTCTGTTTCCTTCAAGTAATAATAATAATATTCCGTTTTATATAGCGCCCAATACATCGATACAACGATGTGCCTAAAGCGCTTTACAGATATATTATTACCCCGGTCATCGGATTCAAGCTTACCCGCACACAATGTATGCTCACTTTCCACTCCCTGGGTAGCTTTCCAGCCAGTCGCCATTTTACAAGCGCACACTTGCTCATCCAACCAAATGAACTTTCGCATCCTACCGGGTACCCATTTAACACCTGAGGTGGAAAGTAGCAAGAGCAAGTCAATATCTTGCCAAAGTGCCGTGTCGGGATTCGAACCTTCGACCTTCGCATCTGCAGTCAAGCGCCTTAAACCACTCGACCACGAAACTTAAAAGTATAAAATTTGAAGTTATTTAAGAGACAGACCTTGCTCTATTGAAAAAAAAATCATGATTTAGAAATGGATAGGTTCATCAACTATTCTACAACTTATGTTCAATCATTCGGCGTATTTGGAAACTATTCTGTTCTAATTCCTCAACTACTCTTTCCGTTACATGCCGTACATGATTGTTATTTTCTTCATGCCACAAAGTTCAACATACATGCAATCATTCTACAAGTTATTATGCTTGATGAATGAACTTGAATTATGTTATGTTATTTTACCATTACATGCCGTACATGATTGTTATTTTCTTCATGCCACAAAGTTCAACATATACATGCAATCATTCTATTAGTTATTATGCCTGATGGATGAACTTGAATTATGTTTTGTTATTTTACCGTTACTTCTTAAATCTATTCACATGTAACACCAGTGGACGTGGAGAACCTCATGACAGAATGGAAATTCTTTTATGTAATCATCAGGCGTCCGCTGGTGGCATTTTCACTGTCTTGTAACTCGTAATGTTATATGCTCTGTGTTGTCACTTCTATTTTGTTTATACATGTACCTGGAAATCAAATAAATAAAACAATACTCTTCTTACTATTCTGAAAGGAACGAATGTCTGAAAATGCCTGTCTGTCCTATTCGCAATCTATTTGCAACTAAAGTGGGATATATCTCAGTTACACCCGTGAGACCGATCCTAGACCGAACCAACGACAAACCAAAATTACTTGACTCCGAATGACTAAGAACCAGTTGGTTTGGAGTTGGTTCGCACTCTCTTTGGCGGTGTGACCGAGATATAAGAGTGCGGTCAGATTTCTTCTTAAAACTTCTAACCGTTTGTGCTATGTAGGGCCCTGTTTTCGGAGATGTTGGGCCCTTTTTACAATTGTTTACTGTTTCAACTAAATTGTCATTATACGGCGCTACAGCGTGAGTCAAAAAAAGTTTACACCTAGAAAATAGCTTTATTATTTTAAAAATCCATCTATGAACAGTGAATTATTATACATCTAATGAAATAGTGTTTTAACCCATATAGTATGGTATGTGTACACGCTTGAATGACCAGGATACATTGTTTAAGAGAGTGCAAAAATCAACTTGCGCCAAACGGCTCATGTGATGTTTGAATAAAACAATTTGGATTCTTTGGCCGGGTATTTGCAGATCCAAATAACATCCCTAACAAAATTAATCATGCCACACATATCAAATATCAAAGAACATGTGTGCGCGTGTGTGTGTATGTGTGACTTTGCTTCTGCGAAAAGCATGTGCAATGTATCTCATTTGATACATTCAATTCATTCTCTCACTTTAATACTTTGCGCAAGTCGATTTTTGCACTCTCGCAAACAATGCCTCCTGTTCATCCAAGCGTGAACACATACCACACAAAAATGATACCAGATGATTCGGGATATAACACTCTTTCGAAACATGTATGATAACTTTTCGTTAAAAGCTGACTTTTAAAATAAATTACAATTTTCTGAGTGTAACATTTTTTTAGACTTACACGGTATACAAGTTCTCATATTTGAAATTGAGTTGGTCGATAACTGTTTTTGATTTGTGGTTGTGAAACGGGAACCAATCTTATTATCTCAATTCAATTCAATTCAAGGTTTTTTTTAAATCTCTTCGCAGCCGTAAAAGGCTGAATTGCGATACAATTCACAGATAAAAACATGCAAAATTACGAAAATATACATATCAATTGCAATGAACATAGTTTGACATAAATTAAAAATCAAATATAAATTTTATAAAAAAAACTATCTCTATGGAACAAGGAAGCTCTCAAAAACGCAACATGCCTAGTACCCTCAGTAAATCGAATTGCAAGGTGTGTCCATTGGACTTACAACACGTAGTAAATATATACAACTGAAATGCATTATCTGTGACCATACATAGAGCTAATATATTTAACAATGAATATGTATCATTATAATAACACTCAGTCTCAATACACTATTTAAGATTTAAATCATTTTAATGATGCTTTATGTACAAGGGTTTTGTATTTATCAAAAATTATCTAGAGTTGTTACATAGGTCAAAAACGGCTTCCTTACTGAATTTATATTTGGTTATTGCATTTTATTATTGGTTTTATAAAACATAAACATTTTAAACAAATTTTTTTACTACCACCCACGTTTCCTCCTTTCTTTTTTACTTTTCTTTTTCTCCTATTTTTCTTTTCCTTCATTTTTTTTGTTTCATCATATCAAGTTCATTACTGTATGTCTTAATTATGTATTTGCCTATTTTACATCGTACCATTTGCATGTATTTTATATGATGCAGTTTTATTTGTAAATTCAAGATATATCACCTTTTAGCTATAACTTTGAATTTTTATCAATACACCTTGTCAATTCACATAAATATGTCACGTCACAACACAACGTAAATATTTTAGACACATTTTAATTCGAATTGCAACACGACCTTATAGGTAAACAGTTTCATGGAGACAGATTAAGAGTCATGTGGAAATTCGAATTTTATATGCGTGTCTTAAATATTTTAGTCGTGTTGTTTACAACAGTACAAGATTGACGATCAACAAAGTGGCTCATTGCACCAACTAGCCTTGCCCTTTTCCGTTCGTAGAAACGAAGCATTGCCAGTAATAATTACCAAAATACATTTAAAGATATCTAAACGAAAAATAACAAAATAGGGCAAATAGTTTTTTTTAAACGTTCCCCTAAATAATGAGATGGCAAATAATTACTTACCTATAATGATTAACATTAGGACCAAGCCAATTGTCTTGAAATCCCCCATTCTTGTTAATTGCTTGAAACCCTGAAATAGAATAGATACACCTTAAACATGTCAATACAAAAACATCCTCCTCTCTCGTTTGTTTTGTTCTTGTCTATAATTTGGTGCTCCAATGTTTCTATTTCTAAAGAATTACTCAGACACTTCGATGTAAATTCTCGTCAAAATATTGATAAATGATTCAGTGGTTACCGTTTGATTTGCAAGTACGAATTTTATAGAATGTACACTGGTCCCCTAGTGATTAGCAAAGTAGCACACAAATTAGCAGTCACGCAAAAAAAAAAACACTCGCAACTTATTATTCAATAAAATTTGAGAATGTATACTATTATTTAGATCTATTAGGAATAAATCATTGTCAAAATCATTCCATAAATTGGGGTAAAAATGATTATTCCACCTTTATGACCAACAGTGTATATACTTTGGTTTTACGCTGTAAGTCTATGACAACTTCGAACAGATAAATACATTACGTTACAGTTCAATGGTCTCAGGGAATTAGAAAGTACACAAACAAAGGTTACACTAATATTTACCGAGATTTTGAAAAACGTAAACTAGGACTTGATTTGATTTAATTTGATTTAATTTGATTTGATTTGAATTTATCAATTTCCCACTCACCACTCACCTATAAACTGTTTTTCAAAGGGGTCCAAGCCAAAAGATTAAAAGAAGGAAAATATGAACAAAATTTATTTACAACTATTAAACAAGCAATCATGGACTATAAGTAATGTGCGTAAGTAATAAGTAAGTAACAGAGTAACGGTCATATTGCATGGGGAAATGATACATTTAATATATGCCTGACTGTGAGATGAATTTTCTTCATATTGAAGTAAAGGCCCTTTACGTTCATTAAAATTATGAGCATATTGATCGCCACGTTGTCCAAATGTATTGGTTTCTCAGTATTTTTCGTAACAGAAGTATTGACTAAATATGATATTGGAGTAGATTGCAAAGTCTTTTATATACCTATGCACCTGAATTATTGGAAGAATTAGGACGGAAGCATGACGTAAACTCTTAGAAAGGCCAAGTACCTACCATAGCGCCTAAAATTATTTACTTAACCAAAGTATTTTTTGAAAAAAAATAATATTTTGATAATTGAATGATTAGATTTAAGAACAAGTATTTTGACCAGGGCTGAACGCAACTAAGAATAAGAAAAAAATTCGTACAACGCCGTCTGTTGTCGATACGGTCAATAAGTCCATTTTCATATTTCAGCCAGTTGTTATTAGATTTTCCTCTCTGCACAGAGAGTAAAAAGACAAAAGTAATCACAGTTGCTACCGGCATGGGAACAACCCTGTTTACCTATTTTTTTTCTTTAAATCAGTGTTTAAGAAATCTCGCTCCAAATGGATACATTTAATTTGAGCAGCTTTAACTCTACAGATATAAGAAATGTTACAATTTCGAGATGAATCGGGGAACTTATTTCTGTTTAAAACGTCAACATCTTGAAACATATATATATAATGAAATACTTTTGTGATTCAACTTAGATATCCTGTAGGATTCAGAGGAATGATAATAACAAAATTGATTGCCAACGTACGTCCACTTAAGAAAATAGGTTCTGAATCAGAATTGTGTGATGGAGAAAGACTGAAATAAATGCAAATTGGAAATAGGCTTCACGATTGAATAACAAAAGTATGGATATCAAACACTGGTATTGATTTTAAGTATCATCAAAACTGAATAGACACAAAGCCTGTATTCACTGATCACAACTCCCGAATTTGCCAAGATCGAGTGTCTTTTCTTCAGTTTGCAAATAACTTCGAAGAGAACTGTCAAACCGGTAATATAATTATTACATGACAAATACTTACACTTGTAAATGAGAAACTAATACAAATGGTAATGGTAATAATACTGAAATTGCACTTACCTCTATTTGACTCAGATAATGAATATAATCCCAATAGAATCCGTCCTGATAAGTCCCTTACAGATTGAAATACGTGATTATGAGCAAAGATAGAATTATGCACAATTTATATATCGCATTTACCGAAGAAACGCCCCCCTTTTTGATTGCCATGACTACAATGTCGGCAACCCATCGATTGCCAATCAGAGGCGCACTTTCTTGCCTGAAACAAACGAAATATCGGCCAATTGACGAATGGGGTTACAGTTCGTTAAAACAGTGTTTTATTCCTTCGGGTTTCATGATAATCATGTGCGTTTGCAGGGATGGTGTATGGTGCGATTCGGTGGCCTTATTAATTAACTCGTACAAAATGCACGGAGAAAGATATAGGTTTTTTTGTTTGCCTGTGCCAAATAAAAAAAAATGAACACAATACTGCTCATGTATTTAGACATTGCTAAGGGATCAAAACAGGAACACGAGTAGCCTACATGTATATAGACGTACATACATATATGTATATGTATATATATATTGTTAACGTTCTGCATCTCATGTGATACATATCACATGAGAAACAGAATGTGAACAATAATATCACCAAACATCTTACAATTACAAAATGTGCTGAAACAGCAGATTGTCACTCAGAACTTTGGTGGGCCAATCGAGCAAGGGATCCACTGCATATCAGAATGATTATATGATTACAAAACAAGCAATACGAAGGCACAAACTAATAACAACACGAAACAATACATATACATATATATATAACATAAACACCATGGGTGTCGATCCCGGGGGGTGGGGGGATATATCCCCCCCCCCCCCCAATATTTCAGGTGGGGGGGGGGGATGGCCTGTACAATCATCCCCCCCCCCCAATAATTTACCATCAAAAAAAAAATGAAGAGAAAATTAATGATGAGAGCCCGATGAGAGTAGTTAATGGTTATTACTCGCAAAATAACCATCAATATACACATTTTGCTATCTCATTTTCATAATACATATATATGTATATATATATATACGAAGTAAATGAGATAACCGTATATGAGACAAGAATAAATTGAATTCTCGCTCATACGGCTTCATCAGGAATTTATGAATTTATTTAATCAATAGCATCATAGAAATGCAGAGCGCCAAATGCAAAGACGCAGCGTTAAACAGCAACGAGCAATGAGCTAAATATTATGCTACCCACCACTCGGGCTGTGCATGCAAAGGTTTGCGAACGAACGTTCCAAACGTACTTCATGTGGGAAACTGAATTCAGACAAGGATTAATATACAGAACAGTACAACGAGTCGTCTTTCTCTAATAATTAAGTGAAACGGCTAAGCTTCCGCGCATTGCGCGGGAGGGGGGGGCAACTGAATTCAGACTAGGATTAAGAGTTATAATTAAATGAAACGTCAAAGTACACGATACAACGAATCGTCTTCTTTTTCTAATAATTTAATGAAACGTGAAAGCTTCCGCGATATCCACGGGATGGTTGAAAGTGATTTCAGACGTGGATTAAGAGTAATAATCAAATAAAACGTCGAAGCTTCCGCGCTTCGCGCGGGATGGGGGGAAACTGAATTCAGATAAGGACACGATACACAAAATTGTCTTCCTTCTCTACTAATTTAATGAAAATAAAAAGCTTCCGCGCTTCGCGCGAGATGGGCAAAAGTGAATACAGATAAGGATTAAGACTAATAATTTATTGAACCGTCGAAGCTTTCGCGCTTTTCGCGGTAGAGGGGAAAACTGAATTCTATATCGTCATCTTCTTTCTCTAATAATGTAATGAAATGTGGAAGCTTGCGCGCTTCGCGCAGGAATAAGAGAAAATGAATTCAGACAAGGATTAAGAGTAATCATTTATTGAACCGTCAAAGCTTCCACGCTACGCGCGGTAAAGGGGGAAACTGAATTCTATATCATCATCTTCTTTCTCTAATAATGTAATGAAATTTGGAAGCTTGCGCGCTTCGAGCAGGAATGGGCGAAAAGGAATTCAGACAAGGATCAAGAGTAGTAATTTATTGAAAAGTCAAAGCTTCCACGCTTCGCGCGGGAGGGGGGGGGGAACTGAATTCAGACAAGGATTAAGAGTCGAGAATGGTACATCGAATCGTCTTCTTTCTTTAATAACCTAATGAAACGTCAGAGTTTCCGCGCTATGCGCGGAAGAAGGGGAACTTTATTCAAACTTTAAGGATTCAGAGTCGAGAACGGTACATCGAATCGTCTTCTTTCTTTAATGATCTAATGAAACGTCAGAGCTTCCGCGCTATGCGCGGGGGTAGGGAACTTGATTCAAACAAGGAATAAGAGTTGATAACGGTCCAACAAATCGTCTTTTTTTTTCTCTAATAATTTAATGAAACGTCAAAGGCTCGCGCTTCGCGGGGGAGGGGGAAAACTCCTCTCTCCCTGCACCCAACGCCTATAGGGAGCGCGCTTCGCACGCTTCGCTAGGTCACTACCGACCCCCTAAAATGAAATCCTGGCTACGCGCTCGGGGAGAGGGGTACAACTGGCCACATGCTTCTACCCCTTGGTTGCTTTGATCTATTGCCGAAAAAATGTTGGCACCTGTCATCCCCCCCCCCCCCCAACCACGGATACAAATCGACACCCTTGATAAACACAATAAATAATGATTATCTGTACACGAAATAAGTATTTCCAGAAATTGTCATATTATATGTGTAGGTGGCGCGCGCGTGTGTGTGTGTACGTGTGTGGCGTGTATAGTGTATGTGTGTTAAGAAATAATTTACTCTAATATATATGATATACAATCATGTAGAGGTGTCAATCGTTTCAGTCCAATGGAAGCGACTACTGCATGATAATCTCATCAGGTTTAGTCACATGCACAGTATCATGATGTACATGTACATGATATACCGGGCTTTTATTTTGTTTTGTCTATTTTTCCTCTGTTTCGACCACTATACATCTTTTAGTTTTGACAGTATCGGCAGCTGAATGTTCTACGCTACTGCTACGAACTTATCATTAAGATAATTAATAATTTGTTACGCTCTTTACAAGTTCATAGTCACATTTGATTCTATGCTTTAGTATACAACATGTAAAAGTCCGTAAATTCCATGACAAGCAAAATGTTGTTTTGGGTTATTGGTGTGTGGGGGTGTACAAATTGTGCCCCCTCCCCAACCCGGATCCACCACGGGTGCAAAATGACTTGCTTTCGCAGTATATTGTGAGTGAAACCGTGTGGTATACTGAAAAAGAAAACTTTAAACGGTTTGTAAATTAAAAGTTAGACCATTTTTTCACAAATTTTCATATCATATTATACCTTTTCGATACTAAACATTTTTTTTGTCAAACCTATCAAATTGGTCAAATTGCATTGCAATCTAACTGGAAGCTAATTTTAGATGCTTACATTCGTTATATGTTGTGCAATTAAAAATAATTATGTGGTATTCATGAAATAACATCTTTCTTGATGTGTAGCTGATTATCAACCATGGTATTGCCAATGGTGGTCACATCCACCACCAACTTTGAGACAAACGAGCAGGTTATCATGGCTGAGGGCACTAGACAACAGATAACAAATGTATATTATTTTATATGGCTCATATTATGCTTGTTTTTTATTTTGTGTTCATCAGTAACATTTGCTTTTTGGTTCACAGAAACTGATGTCAACTTCTTTAGTATTCAATTTCCATGGCAGCGGCTATTTCTTTTTGCTTAGGTAAGATCATCATGCTTGCTGTTCTTGACATGCTTGATGAGCTCTTGACGTTTCCTTTAAGACTATAATTGAACAGGAGGCCCACGATATGCCGGCTCGATTGGACGTCTTTACTGCATCTTCAAGTCGAGAAACACGATCATAGGTCACTGATCGGTTGTCTACAATGCATCTTCAAGATGAAAAGACGTTCATCCTGTGATTGATCGGACGTCTTAAGGAACCATCATTTTGGTCAAACAAAATTTTCATAGGCATCAATCTCTACTTGATAATATGTTGGTCTCATTCGCTTTTAGCTTCATGACCTATCGGTGTGGTTGGCCATATTGGGGCTCAGCAGACAGACAGCCCATAAGACCAAAAAGAATGTCACTCTGGTGAACAATCGAATAGTTGTCAGGACGTTCACGAGACTGACATTATCGGTCTAGTGGTCTGTTGGTTTAGTGAGCCCTTATAAAAGATGTCAAAAGGCCTATGTTACCGATGTTGTTGGTATTGTGGGCTGTCATCACTAAGACCAATTATACTCTAGGGTCACGTACATTAGTGGATAATCTCAGCAATTTGGTTTCAGTATTGTAAATAAATAAGTCCACATTAACTATGATTAATGACACCTCAATCCAAACTTTATTTAGAACATTAAAGGAGAATGAATTGACAATACAAATTTTACGTTACAATTTATTGTATAATTGAGATTATGTACATCCATTGCAAAGAACACAATGTAAAACCTCTAGTAATTTCAGCATGGTGACAAATTATTAAATAAATGTACAACCAGAAAATTAAATACACTCTTCCCCACAGTTAAACTTATATACAATTATTAAGAAATAGCTCTGCATCAACAACATCAAAACATCATACTTTTTTGTACAGATAACCAGCTTTTTAACAGAGAACAAAGTCAAAGTTGAAACAAAACAATCAAGGTGATAAAGAGCATACCATAAACAATTTTAGTAAAATATATAACAATTTTTACATTGAGTCATGTGAGTCTTTTGTTAACACTAAACGTTGTGCCATTTTCTTAACGTGCATCCAAATAGAATCCGTAACTATACAATATGAGACAAAACAAAAACTTTCTAGTATATGGTATAGTAAGTTAGTTTGTAGGCACAATTAATATTTCACTTCCTAGAGAAACCAATGAACTCAATTAACTACCAGTATGTGTTCCCTTAACCTCGCATACTTGGACAAATAATTGCTCTTATTTTTATATGGTTTAATAGTACAATTATTCTTACTAACGTTGAATGGAGAAAACAAAATGGAAAATCTGTTTGTTTCATATCGTCAATGTCTTCCTTTATGTGTTTATAACCATTACAGATGTAAAGTGCTTTAATACCAGTTTCAATTACCATATCGCTCAGCACATAATGTGTGCTACATCTCACCTTACCCCCCCCCCCCCCCCCAAATAGGTTTGTGTGAGGCAATATGAGTAGACAATCACAATAAATTGTGTATATCTAACCATGTTCCTCATTCAATTATCGTTCAATTATGTATGGAGCTTCCTCACCATTCCAAGTATACAAAATACATTTCTAGTCCAATCTTTCAAACAATTTATTATGTGGCAATGAATACCATTCATTAATAAGTGTTCTACATGCATGTGTAACTATTGGTTGATAAAGTGAAAAGCGAATAAAATAAAACAGTGTTCCTGTGTAAGACTGTGTCTGCTCGTGAGTAGTTTTCATACCTTTCAGGTCTACATCAACGTACTAGCAATCATCAACTGATTGATACATACACTACATTTTTATTAGAGAAAACACATCATGGAAACAAGCTATAGAAGCCTGATACCCAGGTCATTTGTGTCATTCAAATGTTAATGTAATTAGTATATCAAACAGTGTTCTATCAGATTTGTTGAAACTCACATAAGAGCAATGTCACATTGTATCATGTATCAGGCATAAATGTTCATTATTATTCCGCCCTATCTCTATTTCCTTCTTTTCTAAGCGCATAGGGACTTTCGTTGTGTTAGTGATATGCGCTATACAAATAACGTTCATTATTATTATTATTATTATTATTATTATTATTATCATTGCTTTATCCTATTCTCTTACAATCCAAAAGTTAATTTATCACATACTTTCAACTCATTTTATATATATTGCATTTGATAAGAGCACAAAATTTACGGAAAAGTTGAAAACTTCAAGGTACTATTTATCATTGTTAATGTCTATATTCTGAATTTTAACTTTCGATAATGAATACGCAATGAGGATTTTAATTGATATGTCGCGTATCAAGTGTTTTGTCCGCTTGACATATATCTTTATTTTCCATCTGTTTGACAGATATAACTTGTCCAATTTAATCAACAAATGTAAGTTTTCCTGAAAAATGCTAACCTCGCTTTGTAAGTTTAAGAATATTTCCATGCAGAATATTCAGGACGGATTTTAAGACATTTTTAATGTAAATAGTACATTAAAGCAATTCTAAACTTTTCTAATGATAAATATGTACAAAAGAGGAAATCTTACCAAAACTAAAATTTATAACATTTATTTTAATTTCAATTCAATGTTTTATTCAGTCAATACCTATTTTTAAAACATAAGTCTGTTACTTACTTTTGCAAACATTGATGGTGAGGTTGAAAGAAATAGTTAAAACATTGTTCCATTTTACTTTATAATTTTTTTATTTGATTTGTTAAATAATAAAATTGCTAATTTGTCTTACTTTTTGACATGCTTAGTGGCCAATAAATAACAACCATGAAAACAAATATGATTTTGAATTACCGTGCGTTTATCTGATAAGACTATTCTGGTTAAACAAAACAAATTATTATGATTATTATTATTATTATTATTTTTTGTGTTATTATCATTCTACTTATCACTATAATTCTTATTATTATTTTTAGTATTGTTCTTATCAGTAGTGGTATTATAAATACAATTATTAATATCAGTACTATTTCTTTAGAAACAAGTTTTGAGAAATAAGTGCTTGCCGTATTTGGATTTAAAAAATCATATTTAAAAACCTTCCAAACTGCTATTAGAAATGTGTGTATTATTGTCTGTATGATTAATCAAAATCTTCTAGTTCAACCATAAGTCTTTCATCAATTATAAAAGTCAATAAACAATATGTTTGCAATTTGATTGTGAATGGAGTAGGAATAGTTTTGCCTGTTATAATAAAGGGTAATATGGGATTAACTTTTGACGTTTGAGTTCATTTAGGTTCTATAAGTGATGATCATGATGACCACTGAGAAAAGAGATGTCAGCCATGTCACACAGCTAGAAGTGAGACCCTCAGAGCTGGATTTGTTGTCGTTGCATTTTGATTCAGTACAACATGATGTGCAACTGGTAACACCATTCGCCGAAGTGCAGTAAGGTCCATCTCCATGCAAGTTAGCAATGCATGGGTTATCCGTGCATCCACGCGACACAACCGTGTGTGATGAGTTCTCATAATGATCAGTCTGCAAGAAAAGAAGAAGTTTTATTATTTTATACGGTTATCTAACTTCATCTTTCGTACCGTGTTGAGTTTGTGACAGTATTCATTTTTTAAACGTTATTGTAGAATTTTCATTTCATCATTTGATTTTTTCAAAATACAAATCGCACGGCTCTTTCCCCTTTCCAGTTAACTTGGTGATTTTTGTTTGTTTTTGATGGACGTACCCCTGTGTTTGGTCTCTTGCTCTGTAATGTATTTGAATATCTGTTTCCTTTTATTAACCAAAAAGAGAAATAGGAGAAAAATCAAACGAAACAAGAAATAAACTAAAACAGACGGACGAACTATCACTTACCCCAAGTATGTGAAAACGGAATGAATATACAATTAAGACAAAATATAACATCAGGTGAAAATTCTAGATTAATGTTTACTTTGTATAAATTCATGTTTTGCGTTTCCCAACATCAATTTAGAGACACATCCTCTTTGTATTTTCACTTATCAACCCAAACTATATACACATGCCAGATCAACCCTGTGAAGAAATGTAAATGTCAAAGTAATTAAATACCCAACAACGCTGTCCTTCATAGCATGTAGGAGTTAGTACTCCAGAACCGCTTGCAAGGTCATCAGCAGTAGAGCAAACATCCGTTATGGAGTTAGTCGAACAGGAATAACATTGAAGAGTCTGGAAGGAAAATCAAGATGCACATTGAATTATTTGCAATGGTACTGAAAGAATAGATTATCTTATTATCTTATTCTAGGATATGTGGACAGCATTTAACACTAAAACTGCACAAATAATATCCCCTTCCATGTTCCCCATCAAAGGTAAACCAAAACCATATTAAAACAAAATTATGTGTAGTGACAAAAAAATGTAAACAGCAGAATTGAAAAATATTTTATAAACAATTAATTTCTGCTTTTTGTTCAGAATATATATTAGATGTATTATATAGGCAACAAGTCATTAACTTAAGCACGAAGAAGAAGGTTCTTTCTCAAGAAATCTCTCTCATATATCTTCCTAACAAAGAATTATACATGTCTAGCTCATTATTATTGGTAAAGATATTATACATAGCCACAAAAACGTGTACAATATTGAAGAAGCCTCTCCCATCAAGCTTTAGAATATTTCAATTCACTTACCCCTAGCATTCTTGTGGCCGGGGTAGGTGCTGTAGTGGTGGAAGTTTGATAAGGTATCATTATTGATATGATCTACAGACATGAAATGTTAGCAATACATAATTATGTTCCATACCTTGCTAGGTCATTCAGAAGGAGGTAGGGGTGGAGCTGCTGAACGTTTCCAATATCATTTGGAAAGTAGGGGCAGTGTTTCGAGGGGTAAGTGAGATGTCAAATTTGTGAGGAAATGTTTCAAAAGTATCCCAGAAATATAATTATAAAATATATATTGTTATTAAATAGATACGTTAAACTTGTTCTGATCTTTGGAATGTTTTGTTTTCCTTTAATCCATTTTCATCATTTTGTAAGTGTTATTCCTCATGTTTACTGACAATTCTAGATATTTGTGCTTTAAAATAAAACTCTTACTTTCGGTGTAATTTATTAGCATTCTTAAATAATGTATAGTTTTTGGTCACAGCTGGCCGTGGACATCCCTGCTTCCCTTTATGATGGATTCCACAGAAAAATCGCTCCTTTAGACGCAGTGTTCCGCACCTTTTTTTTGGGGGGGGGGGGTTCTCGGCAGTTACGGGCACACAAGGTGGCAGCGAGAGGCTGGTACGATAGGCATGTATGTCCAACACGTACTTTGACAATCACATTTATATGTGCCAAAAAGCGCACGGCAAGATGAGACCATAGCATAACTTATCCAGAACGAGTATAATTACTGGCTATAATACAAACTACTTTCAAATAGAACATCTTACCTTCGCTGCATGATGTACAGTCTACACACGTCACCCCATCGCAGATAACTGGGAAATTAAAAAAAAAATGATAAATCAATTTACTGACCAATGAAATCGTATGATGTTTTTAACATGTTTGATTTAAGTCTTCCAAAAATTCAATTTTGAACATAGTTTTAGGGGCGCATATTTTCAAAAGGTTTCCACACACTTGACAATAGCTGTACACAGAAGTGATTGTCATTCAGTTTCTTGGAGTTGATTCAAATTCGAAATAATTCGAGTTACACTTTTATTTGCATTCAATACTACACGCTATTGTTATATTTCATATCCGTAATAATATCCACATGTTTGTACGTGTTCTGTCTGTATCTCTTGTTTATTCCTTCGCCACCGGAGATGTCGCGGATGCATTATGTTTTTGGAGTTGTCCTTGGAGGTGAACTTCGAACTTGATGATAATATGTATCATTATAGGAGGACAATCTGATTATAGGTAAAGTAAAAAGGGCATAAGTAAAATATCCCCCTCTTTTTTTCCCTATTTGTGTCACATATCCACAGGAGCTACCGTTCGAAATTTCTCAATTTAAACGTGGGGTTTGCTGCCCACTGATCAGGCGCAGTAAGGAAGATGGTCAAGGGATACAAGAAGCCTAGCTGCGTCTAATTTATGTTTATCATGCATTCAGCGTGTGTATTTAATTTCTCACAATTATCTTTTCATATATTTGGACATGCTGTATCAAAATAATATGTGTAGTATGTGAACTTATACATTGCCTCCATGTTACATGTTACACACACATAGATAATGTACACTGTTGTGTGGTACTCTGTTATACCATGGACCTATTACGGATGGACATTCAACGTGATTCTTTCTTTGATCCAATGATAGTCACCGCCTCCTGATTATGTGCATCTTAAAATGAGAACATTCAGCTGTTTTAACAATAACGACTGCGTAAGCATTTTCTTTATAAACCCTGTGCGTTGTAATTCTGGAATATTATGAGGAAATTGGGGAAAACGGGATTTTAAATCACAAACAAAACCTTTCTCGTAATATCAACATGTTTTTCAAAAATAGAACACAGTACACAGAACAACAGAACTGCACATCGATTTCCCATGATTTAAGCGATTTATTATCTTCTGCGCATGTATATTAACATGTTTAAAATCACTATCTTGATTATGTCCCGGCTTATTGGCGGTGACCATCATGAGATCAAAGTGAAGAAACATGTACGGAATGTTATTGAGACGACATTAACGGAGACAATCACAATGAATTCGTTAAGAAAACGATGAATGTCCATTCGTAATAGGTCCATGGTTATACCCAATACAATCAGGCTGGCTGGATTGAAACCTAACTCTGATATATATCTATGTGTCATCATTTCAGTACTAATCACACAGCTTAACCAACCCCATTTTATACTATGCATGTTATGAAATTGTTCGTAGGGAATATGGAAATATCAACCAATAAAATTGGTTAATCAAAAGGTGACAGAAAAATCTTAATGTTTTGTAGGAAATATATATATAGCGCGCTAGGATTATGCTGTAAATCTTTTTATCGCCTCGCGTAGTTTAACTTGTCTGGCCTATGCTTTTATTGAGATCTTCTTTACCAATGCACTCCACCACATTGTGGTAGCTTATATCTATAGTGTCGAGCGCATTGCTTTGATATAAAAACACTATGTGTGTGTTATTACTCACGAGTTATGCCAGAAACCGTTGTACCGTAGGGAACTCCATTTTCGTTCAAGATTTGGATATTAGATGCATTCAGAGTGGAAGCCACAGAGCTGTCAAACTCAGCATTGAAATTAACTACTAGAGAACCATTGAAGAATCCTGTTACATTCACCATGATTCGGCAAGCAGTGCCGTCCCTTGAATCGGCTGTAGCATTGCAGTAACCGCCAGCGATCTATGAGTAAGCAGGCAATAATTTAATGATAGAATGCACCCTATAGCGAATTTTCAGGTACATCTAGTTCACATAAATGATGACGATGATGGTGATTTTTTGTGCACATAGATAATATCAGGCAGTGTACACACATAAATGCATATTCATAGTGTGCTTCAATAGTACATGTACAATGTACTACGGAAATGACTTGCTGAGACAGTCAAGTGTTTTTTTGAAACATACACCTAAATTTTGTAATGTTCATATGAAACAAACGAATGAATTGATTTCTGTAGAAATAAATGGTTATCGCATGAACAAAAATTAATGTGAACCACGACCAGGATGAACCGTGGAGTTATACTAACTCCATGGTAAAACTTGTGTTGATTATCGTTTGTAAGTTAGTGAATTTGAAATGCATGTTATGATGCGTTTTAATTAGAGGAAACTATCCTATCGGTTGAAAGGGCAATTGCAATTGTAAAAACAGGTTTGTTTGTTTTTAATACCAAAATCATGAGACTGTATAACATTTTAAGGCATTTGAGGCCCAATAGCTTTAAAACGTTTTTTTTTTAACCACCTGTGACAAGCATCTTCTGATCCAATCTAGGCAGATAACTGAAGCCTGCGTTGTATGTTAACGCGCCCCTCCCCTGTTTCATAGTTACAGTTTCATAGTTCTATGATACAGTGGAAAACACTCTGTTATAGCCCCATTGTACTACTTGTAGTTACTTGCTCCCTTGATATAGAAAACAATGCCTAAGCGGTGCGTGTTGGTCCCCCATGATCCTCTTTTTCTTCTCTTAATTGAGAGCTGAGTTGATGAGATAACCACCTGTCAGTGACCACCCTAATTCCTCTAAGCCCCCCCCCCCCCCCGGCCAAACTAGTGCAGAGGAGCTTTAAATGGAGGCTCTGTGTAAAGGAGAGTCGTTGCTATTCGCATAAGAGTAAGGGGAACGTACCCCTGTTTAGTGGTCCATCTGCACACCCCAATCAGTTATACTGGGAGGAGAGACCAGAGGGTTAAAGCTAAGATCACCTTTTCACCTTTCAGTTAGGTGATGCTGAATATTTGATAATGATAGTAATAATAATAGATAAATAGATAAATAAATAAATAGATTGGTTCATTGATATGAAAGGTTGAATAAAAAAATAGGTAAGCTGCTCACCCTTTCTTCCCACAGTTCAGCGGCTTCCACGAATTCAGTTGAAGAAGTGTCACCCAATTCAGTTGTATATTTTACCCCACTGACTTTGATCGCAGCACTTAATGAGTTGAACTCTGTATCAAGATAATTATATAAACAAATTATTAAGTTTCCGCTTAACAATTACTACATGAAATGTAAAGATAAAAAATGTTTCTCTGGTACATGATTAATTTGAAATTGTTAAAGCTTGGAAATCATGTCAGAATTTTCTTCCTCCCACAAATTGCACAGAGGCTTAGACGAGGACCCCTAAAATTATGGAGTGTAAATTATACACGTATTATATACTAATAATCATCGCACATCTGTTGGATAGACTACAGTTGGATTAGAAAGAAACGGAACTAGAATTACACAGTAACTGTGACAGGTATTTGTAAAAGTTACAGATTTTTGAAGAAAAAATGTTTTCAATTATGAAAACTCCGTAGAATCTTTTCATTCCATGTTCACGTTGAAAAGCAACATGCATCTGTGATAAAATACAAAGTGGAATCAGGGAAATTTGAAACCCAACGACAAGTTGTGAATACACATTTGGTATCTTAAAAATGGCTATAACTTATATATAGGATTTCCCGGCCAAATTCGCGTGTTTGTCATTCGAATTCATTTACTTTGCATTTAAGTTAGCGCAGATCGGCTTTGCCATGCCAATTATCATTCAACTTTCCAGTTTTTGTATTTAATTTAGGATTTTGGTCGAAGGGTTTCATAGATCTGTCATTCAATTTAGAAACTGCTCAACTAGCATTCAAATTAATATTTACTTGTCGAAGCGTAATTTTTATCTTTCAAATTAACACATGTCATTCGTATTCGTAATATTTGTATTCAAGTTAGGAATGTTAGGGGGAAAAATTGCAACAAACTTTTATAGTTTTTAAATAATGCAGTTAAAATGCATGATTTGCCATTGGGGTCTAAGCTGTTATTCCATTTATTTATTGTCAGGACAATGCAGATGGGTGTAGTCAGACATAAAGTAAAGAAGGGGTGAAATCAATTGACATGGTATTTCTGCACGGACATGTTCATATACCCGGGAAAGGTGGGGGTACCCTCAGTCGCCCCTATTTACTACAGACTCGGAATTTTACAAAAGTAATTCACACCGTCTCTTATACCCAGCACATCCCTCTGTTTTTCTTAAAGAGTTTCATAGTTTACTTGCCCGCCAGCAGATCGATGGCTAAAGATATGTTGAAATGGTTGACTCTAGTCCCTACCCCAGTCACAATATTGTACCCTTCTGCCATAATGAAATTATGATGAAACTATGATCAATTTATGATGAAACATAAGACAAACAACTTCCTTACATGAACATTTACAAATTATACTGAGACCATCAAGTCCGTAGATGCATGTCGTTTTTTTTTCTTATTAACAATCAAACTTAAATGCTGATGAATATCAGATAAATCTAATAAGTATGAATAAATATGGTGAAATTCACATGAAAAAACAATCTTGAAAGAAAAAGAATGAGCTATAAAAAGTGTGTAATAAACGAGAAATGTGTATTGACCATCAAATTAAGTGCACAAAGTGCTAATTTGAATGCTATAAATGAATTAGAATGCTAAAAGTAGACCGTCGTGTTGTCAGAAAATCGTGTTGCGCCAAGTCGAATGACCAAATAGCGAAAGAAGCACATTGTTCATTAATTTGAATGAAACATACGTAAATTCTAACGAAAATTCCATAGATTTGAAAACTAGAAAAGGGAATATAAACCCGAGATATACCTGACTGCACTATAACCGTCGAATTTGAACGCAAGACAAATTAATTTGAATGACAAACTCGCGAATTTGGCCGGGAAATCCTATATTATGATGAAATCATTGGTTCCGGTCTATCTATTCATCCGCATATGGCCTAAACGTCAGACGGACAAGTCTTCGTTAGGATACCCCAGAAGGAAGTGATACTTAAACTCAAAACAAAACTGTAAATCTTCCTCCCGCCCCCCCCCCAACCCCACACACACTCCGTGAACGGAGGGATACCATGCGTGTTCCCAAAATGTCCGGTAAAGGTGTTTTGGTGATGCTGCCCCCAGTGTTCCGTCTTCTATAGGTTAAAAAGATCATATTTTGGTGGGTGTCTAGTGTGCGCTATGCAGGTCATATTTAATGACGGATTTCTTTCAAATTTTGTATTGAGAATTAGAAATGTATCTTGGTACGTTCCGTCTTTTATATGGTCAAAGGTCATATATGTCTTGTATGCGCTCTAACTGCACATTTCTTGGCAGATTTCTTTCGAATTTTCTACAGAGATGTATTATACTCTAATCTACACAGATTGCTTCAGTGATGCTGCTCCTAGTCTTGACAATAGTCTGAGCCACTAGTGGCGATCTCTACGTCATCTTTTTGTCTCAGGGAGGAGAGAGGGGAACTATGTGCCTCCTTCAAACATTAGGATGACACAAAATCGCTGCAACTGCCAGGGGGTACATTCGCATTGCGCGGCAATACGGATTGCGATATTTCTAGTAAGAATTGTGAATCTAGAAAGTGTGAATAAATTACAATGACCATCATGACATTTATAGTAAAACATCCTACTTTGTTACTCTTTAGCTTGATCACTAGTTGGTTACGTTTTTTAAGTTGATCTTAAATATTTTCTATCACAAATAAATACGATTTTATATATGGCTAGTAATAGGTGTCTTCTGAAGAGATAGCAGATAAAAAACAAGTGTAAGTTTCATTTGGAGTAAAAAGATAACTTCTGGTAATGTTTTCAGAGCATTATTTTAAAGTAATACGATGTGGAAATGTCAAAATCGTTTTTAGTGAGTGTTGTTGGGATTACCCCTCAAAATGAATCCTTGTTTAGATATAAAGGCCCGGTCACACAGAGGGGACGCATGGGGGACGCACGGCCGGCGCATGGAAAATTTGTAATTTTGGCCAGTGCGTTGTCGTGCGCCCAACTTTTGTCGAAGCTATACAGCTAGCTGACACCAAATGCATAGCGCGCTGGACGCATACAGGGCGTATACAGGGCGCACACAGGGCGCACACAGGGCGCACACAGAGCGCACTTGAAAACAACTTCCACGAATGCACAGCGTGTTGCTAGCGCGCTGGACGAATGGTCCACGCATGCACCGCGTTCTACGACGCACGGCCAGCGCATTGGAAATCGGAAAAGAACGTGTGCCTGAAGGCCCGGTCACACAGAGAGGACGCATGGGGAACGCACGGCCAGCGCATGGGAAATTTGCAATTTTGGCCAGTGCGTTGTCGTGCGCCCAACTTTTGACACCAAATGCATAGCGTGTTGCTAGCGCGCTGAGCGCATACAGGGCGCATACAGTACGCATACAGACCGTACCCAGAGCGCACATGATAACAACTTCCACGAATGCACAGCGTGTTGCTAGCGCGCTGGACGAATGGTCCACGCATGCACCGCGTTCTACGACGCACGGCCAGCGCATTGGAAATCGGAAAAGGTCGTGTGCCTAACTTTTGTCATGATTTTGGAAAAGTTAGCGAGCTGACACAAAATGCACAGCGTGTAGCTAGCGCGCTGTGCGTATACAGGGCGTGTGCCCCGCGTATGTCTGGCGCTGGTCTAGCGCGCTCAACGCACGTCTGGCGTGCCTTTGGCGTGTACATTCATGCGTCGAGCTCCGCGCACACTTTTGAGCATGCTCAAAAAATCCTGACGCACACAGCGAATGACGACGAATGCATAGCGCTGGTCCAGCGTTGGTCCAGCGCGCTCGACGAACGAGTAACGAGTGATGACGCACGCCTAGCGAACGACAACGCACTGGCCAAAATTGGAAATTTTCCATGCGCCGGCCGTGCGTCCCGCATGCGTCCTCTCTGTGTGACCGGGCCATAAGGAGAAGTGAATAGATGAATAGGACGAATAGTAATGAACCACACAGACATTTCAAAGAATAGTTTGCATGTTTTTCCAACTTAATTTCTCTGCGTGTATTATTAGGTCCCAGCCCTAAGTTGTTGCTTCATTTGCGCCTTGTAACAATATGCACTTGGTCTTTATTAAAATGCAAAATGTATTGAGAAGAAAACACACATTAGATCTGCAATTCTCTAATAAGAATCGACAATTTTGTTAGTAGTAGCAGTAAAAGCTTAATATATCTTACCCGCTGTAACGCAGGTAGCTCCAGTAAACCCTGTTGCACATGTACATGTACCGGCCGCCTCACAGGTACCACCGTTCATACACTGGCTGTTTTCAGTACAGTCGACTAAAGAAGGAGAGAAATTACCCTTATATTAATTACAAATCTTACATTGATCGCTAACGACCGAACAGCTCCAAAATCCTGGAATTTAAGAATGGTCTAATTAGAATTGTAAATCTAGAAAGTGTGTAGACTTTTTCACCTTCTTAATGAAAACTCGGGGAGGAGGGGGGGTTGAGGAGCGTGAGTAAATTACAATGACCATCATGGCATTTATAGTAAAACATCCTTCTTTGGTACTCTTTAGCTTGATCACTAGTTGGTTACGTTGTTTAAGTTTGATCTTTAATATTTTCGATCACAAATAAATACGATTTTATATATGGCTAGTAATAGGTGTCTTCTGAAGAGATAGCAGATAAAAAAAACAAGTGTAAGTTTCATTTTGAGCAAAAAGATAACTTCCGGTATTGTTTTCAGAGCATTATTTTAAAGTAATACGATGTGGAAATGTCAAAATCGTGGTGAGTGAGTGTTGTTGTGATTATCCCTGAAAATGAATCCTTGTTCAGATATAAGGAGAAGTGAATAGATAAATAGGACGAATAGTAATGAACGACACAGACATTTCAAAGAATAGTTTGCATGTTTTTCCAACTTAATTTCTCTGCGTGCATTATTAGGTCCCAGCCCTAAGTTGTTGCTTCATTTGCGTCTTGTAACAATATGCACTTGGTCTTTATTAAAATGCAAAATGTATTGAGAAGAAAACACACATTCCATCTGCAATTCTCTAATAAAAATCGACAATTTTGTTAGCAGTTGCAGTAAAAGCTTAATATATCTTACCCGCTGTAACGCAGGTAGCTCCAGTAAACCCTGTTGCACATGTACATGTACCGGCCGCCTCACAGGTACCACCGTTCATACACTGGCTGTTTTCAGTACAGTCGACTAAAGAAGGAGAGAAATTACCCTTATATTAATTACAAATCTTACATTGACCGCTAACGACCGACCAGCTCCAAAATCCTGGAATTTAAGAATGGTGGAATTAGAATTGTAAATCTAGAAAGTGTGTAGACTTTTTCACCTTCTTAATGAAAACTCGGGGAGGAGGGGGGGGGTTGAGGAGCGTGAGTAAATTACAATGATCATCATGGCATTTATAGTAAAACATCCTTCTTTGGTACTCTTTAGCTTGATCACTAGTTGGTTACGTTGTTTAAGTTTGATCTTTAATATTTTCTATCACAAATAAATACGATTTTATATATGGCTAGTAATAGGTGTCTTCTGAAGAGATAGCAGATAAAAAAAACAAGTGTAAGTTTCATTTTGAGCAAAAAGATAACTTCCGGTAGTGTTTTCAGAGCATTATTTTAAAGTAATACGATGTGGAAATGTCAAAATCGTGGTGAGTGAGTGTTGTTGTGATTATCCCTGAAAATGAATCCGTGTTCAGATATAAGGAGAAGTGAATAGATGAATAGGACGAATAGTAATGAACGACACAGACATTTCAAAGAATAGTTTGCATGTTTTTCCAACTTAATTTCTCTGCGTGCATTATTAGGTCCCAGCCCTAAGTTGTTGCTTCATTTGCGTCTTGTAACAATATGCACTTGGTCTTTATTAAAATGCAAAATGTATTGAGAAGAAAACACACATTCCATCTGCAATTCTCTAATAAAAATCGACAATTTTGTTAGCAGTTGCAGTAAAAGCTTAATATATCTTACCCGCTGTAACGCAGGTAGCTCCAGTAAACCCTGTTGCACATGTACATGTACCGGCCGCCTCACAGGTACCACCGTTCATACACTGGCTGTTTTCAGTACAGTCGACTAAAGAAGGAGAGAAATTACCCTTATATTAATTACAAATCTTACATTGACCGCTAACGACCGACCAGCTCCAAAATCATGGAATTTAAGAATGGTGGAATTAGAATTGTAAATCTAGAAAGTGTGTAGACTTTTTCACCTTCTTAATGAAAACTCGGGGAGGAGGGGGGGGGTTGAGGAGCGTGAGTAAATTACAATGATCATCATGGCATTTATAGTAAAACATCCTTCTTTGGTACTCTTTAGCTTGATCACTAGTTGGTTACGTTGTTTAAGTTTGATCTTTAATATTTTCTATCACAAATAAATACGATTTTATATATGGCTAGTAATAGGTGTCTTCTGAAGAGATAGCAGATAAAAAAAACAAGTGTAAGTTTCATTTTGAGCAAAAAGATAACTTCCGGTAGTGTTTTCAGAGCATTATTTTAAAGTAATACGATGTGGAAATGTCAAAATCGTGGTGAGTGAGTGTTGTTGTGATTATCCCTGAAAATGAATCCGTGTTCAGATATAAGGAGAAGTGAATAGATGAATAGGACGAAAAATAATGAACCACATAGACATTTCAAAGAATAGTTTCCATCAACAATGTTTTTCCAACTTAATTTCTCTGCGTGCATTATGAGGTCCCAGCCCTAAGTTGTTGCTTCATTTGCGCCTTGTAACAATATGCACTTGGTCTTTATTAAAATGCAAAGATTATTGAGAAGAAAACACAAATTCGATCTGCAATTCTCTAATAAGAATCGACAATTTTGTTAGCAGTAGCAGTAAAAGCTTAATATATCTTACCCGCTGTAACGCAGGTAGCTCCAGTAAACCCTGTTGCACATGTACATGTACCGGCCGCCTCACAGGTACCACCGTTCATACACTGGCTGTTTTCAGTACAGTCGACTAAAGAAGGAGAGAAATTACCCTTATATTAATTACAAATCTTACATTGATCGCTAACGACCGACCAGCTCCAAAATCCTGGAATTTAAGAATGGTGGAATTAGAATTGTAAATCTAGAAATAGGTAGACTTTTTCACCTTCTTAATGAAAACTCGGGGAGGGGGGGGGGGTTGAGGAGCGTGAGTAAATTACAATGACCATCATGGCATTTATAGTAAAACATCCTTCTTTGGTACTCTTTAGCTTAATCACTAGTTGGTTACGTTGTTTAAGTTTGATCTTTAATATTTTCGATCACAAATAAATACGATTTTATATATGGCTAGTAATAGGTGTCTTCTGAAGAGATAGCAGATAAAAAAAAACAAGTGTAAGTTTCATTTTGAGCAAAAAGATAACTTCCGGTATTGTTTTCAGAGCATTATTTTAAAGTAATACGATGTGGAAATGTCAAAATCGTGGTGAGTGAGTGTTGTTGTGATTATCCCTGAAAATGAATCCTTGTTCAGAATTAAGGAGAAGTGAATAGATAAATAGGACGAATAACAATGAACCACATAGACATTTCAAAGAATAGTTTGCATGTTTTTCCAACTTAATTTCTCTGCGTGCATTATTAGGTCCCAGCCCTAAGTTGTTGCTTCATTTGCGCCTTGTAACAATACGCACTTGGTCTTTATTAAAATGCAAAGATTATTGAGAAGAAAACACAAATTCGATCTGTAGTTCTCTAATAAGAATCGACAATTTTGTTAGCAGTAGCAGTAAAAGCTTAATATATCTTACCCGCTGTAACGCAGGTAGCTCCAGTAAACCCTGTTGCACATGTACATGTACCAGCCGCCTCACAGGTACCACCGTTCATACACTGGCTGTTTTCAGTACAGTCGACTAAAGAAGGAGAGAAATTACCCTTATATTAATTACAAATCTTACATTGATCGCTAACGACCGACCAGCTCCAAAATCCTGGAATTTAAGAATGGTGGAATTAGAATTGTAAATCTAGAAAGTGTGTAGACTTTTTCACCTTCTTAATGAAAACTCGGGGAGGAGGGGGGGGGGGGGTTGAGGAGCGTGAGTAAATTACAATGATCATCATGGCATTTATAGTAAAACATCCTTCTTTGGTACTCTTTAGCTTGATCACTAGTTGGTTACGTTGTTTAAGTTTGATCTTTAATATTTTCGATCACAAATAAATACGATTTTATATATGGCTAGTAATAGGTGTCTTCTGAAGAGATAGCAGATAAAAAAAACAAGTGTAAGTTTCATTTTGAGCAAAAAGATAACTTCCGGTATTGTTTTCAGAGCATTATTTTAAAGTAATACGATGTGGAAATGTCAAAATCGTGGTGAGTGAGTGTTGTTGTGATTATCCCTGAAAATGAATCCTTGTTCAGAATTAAGGAGAAGTGAATAGATGAATAGGACGAATAGTAATGAACCACACAGACATTTCAAAGAATAGTTTGCATTAATAATGTTTTTCCAACTTAATTTCTTTGCGTGCATTATTAAGTCCCAGCCCTAAGTTGTTGCTTCATTTGCGCCTTGTAACAGTATGCACTTGGTCTTTATTAAAAAGCAAAGATTATTGAGAAGAAAACACAAATTCGATCTGTAGTTCTTTAATAAGAATTGACAATTTTGTTAGCAGTAGCAGTAAAAGCTTAATATATCTTACCCGCTGTAACGCAGGTAGCTCCAGTAAACCCTGTTGCACATGTACATGTACCGGCCGCCTCACAGGTACCACCGTTCATACACTGGCTGTTTTCAGTACAGTCGACTAAAGAAGGAGAGAAATTACCCTTATATTAATTACAAATCTTACATTGATCGCTAACGACCGAACAGCTCCAAAATCCTGGAATTTAAGAATGGTATAATTAGAATTGTAAATCAAGAAAGTGTGTAGACTTTTTCACCTTCTTAATGAAAACTCGGGGAGGGGGGGTTGAGGAGCGTGAGTAAATTACAATGACCATCATGGCATTTATAGTAAAACATCCTTCTTTGGTACTCTTTAGCTTGATCACTAGTTGGTTACGTTGTTTAAGTTTGATCTTTAATATTTTCTATCACAAATATATACGATTTTATATATGGCTAGTAATAGGTGTCTTCTGAAGAGATAGCAGATAAAAAAAACAAGTGTAAGTTTCATTTTGAGCAAAAAGATAACTTCCGGTATTGTTTTCAGAGCATTATTTTAAAGTAATACGATGTGGAAATGTCAAAATCGTTGTGAGTGAGTGTTGTTGTGATTATCCCTGAAAATGAATCCTTGTTCAGATATAAGGAGAAGTGAATAGATGAATAGGACGAATAGTAATGAACGACACAGACATTTCAAAGAATAGTTTGCATGTTTTTCCAACTTAATTTCTCTGCGTGCATTATTAGGTCCCAGCCCTAAGTTGTTGCTTCATTTGCGTCTTGTAACAATATGCACTTGGTCTTTATTAAAATGCAAAATGTATTGAGAAGAAAACACACATTCCATCTGCAATTCTCTAATAAAAATCGACAATTTTGTTAGCAGTTGCAGTAAAAGCTTAATATATCTTACCCGCTGTAACGCAGGTAGCTCCAGTAAACCCTGTTGCACATGTACATGTACCGGCCGCCTCACAGGTACCACCGTTCATACACTGGCTGTTTTCAGTACAGTCGACTAAAGAAGGAGAGAAATTACCCTTATATTAATTACAAATCTTACATTGACCGCTAACGACCGACCAGCTCCAAAATCCTGGAATTTAAGAATGGTGGAATTAGAATTGTAAATCTAGAAAGTGTGTAGACTTTTTCACCTTCTTAATGAAAACTCGGGGAGGAGGGGGGGGGTTGAGGAGCGTGAGTAAATTACAATGATCATCATGGCATTTATAGTAAAACATCCTTCTTTGGTACTCTTTAGCTTGATCACTAGTTGGTTACGTTGTTTAAGTTTGATCTTTAATATTTTCTATCACAAATAAATACGATTTTATATATGGCTAGTAATAGGTGTCTTCTGAAGAGATAGCAGATAAAAAAAACAAGTGTAAGTTTCATTTTGAGCAAAAAGATAACTTCCGGTAGTGTTTTCAGAGCATTATTTTAAAGTAATACGATGTGGAAATGTCAAAATCGTGGTGAGTGAGTGTTGTTGTGATTATCCCTGAAAATGAATCCGTGTTCAGATATAAGGAGAAGTGAATAGATGAATAGGACGAAAAATAATGAACCACATAGACATTTCAAAGAATAGTTTCCATTAACAATGTTTTTCCAACTTAATTTCTCTGCGTGCATTATGAGGTCCCAGCCCTAAGTTGTTGCTTCATTTGCGCCTTGTAACAATATGCACTTGGTCTTTATTAAAATGCAAAGATTATTGAGAAGAAAACACAAATTCGATCTGCAATTCTCTAATAAGAATCGACAATTTTGTTAGCAGTAGCAGTAAAAGCTTAATATATCTTACCCGCTGTAACGCAGGTAGCTCCAGTAAACCCTGTTGCACATGTACATGTACCGGCCGCCTCACAGGTACCACCGTTCATACACTGGCTGTTTTCAGTACAGTCGACTAAAGAAGGAGAGAAATTACCCTTATATTAATTACAAATCTTACATTGATCGCTAAGGACCGACCAGCTCCAAAATCCTGGAATTTAAGAATGGTGGAATTAGAATTGTAAATCTAGAAATAGGTAGACTTTTTCACCTTCTTAATGAAAACTCGGGGAGGGGGGGGGGGGGGGGTTGAGGAGCGTGAGTAAATTACAATGACCATCATGGCATTTATAGTAAAACATCCTTCTTTGGTACTCTTTAGCTTAATCACTAGTTGGTTACGTTGTTTAAGCTTGATCTTTAATATTTTCGATCACAAATAAATACGATTTTATATATGGCTAGTAATAGGTGTCTTCTGAAGAGATAGCAGATAAAAAAAAACAAGTGTAAGTTTCATTTTGAGCAAAAAGATAACTTCCGGTATTGTTTTCAGAGCATTATTTTAAAGTAATACGATGTGGAAATGTCAAAATCGTGGTGAGTGAGTGTTGTTGTGATTATCCCTGAAAATGAATCCTTGTTCAGAATTAAGGAGAAGTGAATAGATAAATAGGACGAATAACAATGAACCACATAGACATTTCAAAGAATAGTTTGCATGTTTTTCCAACTTAATTTCTCTGCGTGCATTATTAGGTCCCAGCCCTAAGTTGTTGCTTCATTTGCGCCTTGTAACAATACGCACTTGGTCTTTATTAAAATGCAAAGATTATTGAGAAGAAAACACAAATTCGATCTGTAGTTCTCTAATAAGAATTGACAATTTTGTTAGCAGTAGCAGTAAAAGCTTAATATATCTTACCCGCTGTAATGCAGGTAGCTCCAGTAAACCCTGTTGCACAAGTACATGTACCAGCCGCCTCACAGGTACCACCGTTCATACACTGGCTGTTTTCAGTACAGTCGACTAAAGAAGGAGAGAAATTACCCTTATATTAATTACAAATCTTACATTGATCGCTAACGACCGACCAGCTCCAAAATCCTGGAATTTAAGAATGGTGGAATTAGAATTGTAAATCTAGAAAGTGTGTAGACTTTTTCACCTTCTTAATGAAAACTCGGGGAGGAGGGGGGGGGGTTGAGGAGCGTGAGTAAATTACAATGATCATCATGGCATTTATAGTAAAACATCCTTCTTTGGTACTCTTTAGCTTGATCACTAGTTGGTTACGTTGTTTAAGTTTGATCTTTAATATTTTCGATCACAAATAAATACGATTTTATATAAGGCTAGTAATAGGTGTCTTCTGAAGAGATAGCAGATAAAAAAAACAAGTGTAAGTTTCATTTTGAGCAAAAAGATAACTTCCGGTATTGTTTTCAGAGCATTATTTTAAAGTAATACGATGTGGAAATGTCAAAATCGTGGTGAGTGAGTGTTGTTGTGATTATCCCTGAAAATGTATCCGTGTTCAGATATAAAGAGAAGTGAATAGATGAATAGGACGAAAAATAATGAACCACATAGACATTTCAAAGAATAGTTTCCATTAACAATGTTTTTCCAACTTAATTTCTCTGCGTGCATTATGAGGTCCCAGCCCTAAGTTGTTGCTTCATTTGCGCCTTGTACCAATATGCACTTGGTCTTTATTAAAATGCAAAGATTATTGAGAAGAAAACACAAATTCGATCTGCAATTCTCTAATAAGAATCGACAATTTTGTTAGCAGTAGCATTAAAAGCTTAATATATCTTACCCGCTGTAACGCAGGTAGCTCCAGTAAACCCCGTTGCACATGTACATGTACCAGCCGCCTCACAGGTACCACCGTTCATACACTGGCTGTTTTCAGTACAGTCGACTAAAGAAGGAGAGAAATTACCCTTATATTAATTACAAATCTTACATTGATCGCTAACGACCGAACAGCTCCAAAATCTTGGAATTTAAAAATGGTCTAATTAGAATTTTAAATCTAGAAAGTGTGTAGACTTTTTCACCTTCTTAATGAAAACTCGGGGAAGGGGGGTTGGGGAGGCTAAGTTAATTACAATAACCATCATGGCATTTACAGTAAAACATCCTTCTTTGGTACTCTTTAGCTTGATCACTAGTTGGTTACGTTGTTTAAGTTTGATCTTTAATATTTTCGATCACAAATAAATACGATATTATATATGGCTAGTAATAGGTGTCTTCTGAAGAGATAGCAGATTAAAAAAACAAGTGTAAGTTTCATTTTGAGCAAAAAGATAACTTCCGGTATTGTTTTCAGAGCATTATTTTAAAGTAATACGATGTGGAAATGTCAAAATCGTGGTGAGTGAGTGTTGTTGTGATTATCCCTGAAAACGAATCCTTGTTCAGATATAAAAAGAAGTGAATAGATGAATAGGAAGAAAAATAATGAACCCCATAGACATTGTAAAGAATAGTTTGCATTAATAATGTTTTTCCAACTTAATTTCTCTGCGTGCATTATTAGGTCCCAGCCCTAAGTTGTTGCTTCATTTGCGTCTTGTAACAATATGCACTTGGTCTTTATTAAAATGCAAAATGTATTGAGAAGAAAACACACATTCGATCTGCAATTCTCTAATAAAAATCGACAATTTTGTTAGCAGTAGCAGTAAAAGCTTAATATATCTTACCCGCTGTAACGCAGGTAGCTCCAGTAAACCCCGTTGCACATGTACATGTACCGGCCGCCTCACAGGTACCACCGTTCATACACTGGCTGTTTTCAGTACAGTCGACTAAAGAAGGAGAGAAATTACCCTTATATTAATTACAAATCTTACATTGATCGCTAACGACCGACCAGCTCCAAAATCCTGGAATTTAAGAATGGTGGAATTAGAATTGTAAATCTAGAAAGTGTGTAGACTTTTTCACCTTCTTAATGAAAACTCGGGGAGGAGGGGGGGGGGTTGAGGATCGTGAGTAAATTACAATGATCATCATGGCATTTATAGTAAAACATCCTTCTTTGGTACTCTTTAGCTTGATCACTAGTTGGTTACGTTGTTTAAGTTTGATCTTTAATATTTTCTATCACAAATATATACGATTTTATATATGGCTAGTAATAGGTGTCTTCTGAAGAGATAGCAGATAAAAAAAACAAGTGTAAGTTTCATTTTGAGCAAAAAGATAACTTCCGGTATTGTTTTCAGAGCATTATTTTAAAGTAATACGATGTGGAAATGTCAAAATCGTGGTGAGTGAGTGTTGTTGTGATTATCCCTGAAAATGAATCCGTGTTCAGATATAAAGAGAAGTGAATAGATGAATAGGACGAAAAATAATGAACCACATAGACATTTCAAAGAATAGTTTCCATTAACAATGTTTTTCCAACTTAATTTCTCTGCGTGCATTATGAGGTCCCAGCCCTAAGTTGTTGCTTCATTTGCGCCTTGTAACAATATGCACTTGGTCTTTATTAAAATGCAAAGATTTATGAGAAGAAAACACAAATTCGATCTGCAATTCTCTAATAAGAATCGACAATTTTGTTAGCAGTAGCAGTAAAAGCTTAATATATCTTACCCGCTGTAACGCAGGTAGCTCCAGTAAACCCTGTTGCACATGTACATGTACCGGCCGCCTCACAGGTACCACCGTTCATACACTGGCTGTTTTCAGTACAGTCGACTAAAGAAGGAGAGAAATTACCCTTATATTAATTACAAATCTTACATTGATCGCTAACGACCGACCAGCTCCAAAATCCTGGAATTTAAGAATGGTCTAATTAGAATTGTAAATCTAGAAAGTGTGTAGACCTTTTAACCTTCTTAATGAAAACTCGGGGAGGGGGGTTGAGGAGCGTGAGTAAATTACAATGACCATCATGGCATTTATAGTAAAACATCCTTCTTTGGTACTCTTTAGCTTGATCACTAGTTGGTTACGTTGTTTAAGTTTGATCTTTAATATTTTCTATCACAAATAAATACGATTTTATATATGGCTAGTAATAGGTGTCTTCTGAAGAGATAGCAGATAAAAAAAACAAGTGTAAGTTTCATTTTGAGCAAAAAGATAACTTCCGGTAGTGTTTTCAGAGCATTATTTTAAAGTAATACGATGTGGAAATGTCAAAATCGTGGTGAGTGAGTGTTGTTGTGATTATCCCTGAAAATGAATCCGTGTTCAGATATAAGGAGAAGTGAATAGATGAATAGGACGAAAAATAATGAACCACATAGACATTTCAAAGAATAGTTTCCATTAACAATGTTTTTCCAACTTAATTTCTCTGCGTGCATTATGAGGTCCCAGCCCTAAGTTGTTGCTTCATTTGCGCCTTGTAACAATATGCACTTGGTCTTTATTAAAATGCAAAGATTATTGAGAAGAAAACACAAATTCGATCTGCAATTCTCTAATAAGAATCGACAATTTTGTTAGCAGTAGCAGTAAAAGCTTAATATATCTTACCCGCTGTAACGCAGGTAGCTCCAGTAAACCCTGTTGCACATGTACATGTACCGGCCGCCTCACAGGTACCACCGTTCATACACTGGCTGTTTTCAGTACAGTCGACTAAAGAAGGAGAGAAATTACCCTTATATTAATTACAAATCTTACATTGATCGCTAACGACCGACCAGCTCCAAAATCCTGGAATTTAAGAATGGTGGAATTAGAATTGTAAATCTAGAAATAGGTAGACTTTTTCACCTTCTTAATGAAAACTCGGGGAGGGGGGGGGGGTTGAGGAGCGTGAGTAAATTACAATGACCATCATGGCATTTATAGTAAAACATCCTTCTTTGGTACTCTTTAGCTTAATCACTAGTTGGTTACGTTGTTTAAGTTTGATCTTTAATATTTTCGATCACAAATAAATACGATTTTATATATGGCTAGTAATAGGTGTCTTCTGAAGAGATAGCAGATAAAAAAAACAAGTGTAAGTTTCATTTTGAGCAAAAAGATAACTTCCGGTATTGTTTTCAGAGCATTATTTTAAAGTAATACGATGTGGAAATGTCAAAATCGTGGTGAGTGAGTGTTGTTGTGATTATCCCTGAAAATGAATCCTTGTTCAGAATTAAGGAGAAGTGAATAGATAAATAGGACGAATAACAATGAACCACATAGACATTTCAAAGAATAGTTTGCATGTTTTTCCAACTTAATTTCTCTGCGTGCATTATTAGGTCCCAGCCCTAAGTTGTTGCTTCATTTGCGCCTTGTAACAATACGCACTTGGTCTTTATTAAAATGCAAAGATTATTGAGAAGAAAACACAAATTCGATCTGTAGTTCTCTAATAAGAATCGACAATTTTGTTAGCAGTAGCAGTAAAAGCTTAATATATCTTACCCGCTGTAACGCAGGTAGCTCCAGTAAACCCTGTTGCACATGTACATGTACCAGCCGCCTCACAGGTACCACCGTTCATACACTGGCTGTTTTCAGTACAGTCGACTAAAGAAGGAGAGAAATTACCCTTATATTAATTACAAATCTTACATTGATCGCTAACGACCGACCAGCTCCAAAATCCTGGAATTTAAGAATGGTGGAATTAGAATTGTAAATCTAGAAAGTGTGTAGACTTTTTCACCTTCTTAATGAAAACTCGGGGAGGAGGGGGGGGGTTGAGGAGCGTGAGTAAATTACAATGATCATCATGGCATTTATAGTAAAACATCCTTCTTTGGTACTCTTTAGCTTGATCACTAGTTGGTTACGTTGTTTAAGTTTGATCTTTAATATTTTCGATCACAAATAAATACGATTTTATATAAGGCTAGTAATAGGTGTCTTCTGAAGAGATAGCAGATAAAAAAAACAAGTGTAAGTTTCATTTTGAGCAAAAAGATAACTTCCGGTATTGTTTTCAGAGCATTATTTTAAAGTAATACGATGTGGAAATGTCAAAATCGTGGTGAGTGAGTGTTGTTGTGATTATCCCTGAAAATGAATCCTTGTTCAGATATAAAGAGAAGTGAATAGATGAATAGGACGAAAAATAATGAACCACATAGACATTTCAAAGAATAGTTTCCATTAACAATGTTTTTCCAACTTAATTTCTCTGCGTGCATTATTAGGTCCCAGCCCTAAGTTGTTGCTTCATTTGCGCCTTGTACCAATATGCACTTGGTCTTTATTAAAATGCAAAGATTATTGAGAAGAAAACACAAATTCGATCTGCAATTCTCTAATAAGAATCGACAATTTTGTTAGCAGTAGCAGTAAAAGCTTAATATATCTTACCCGCTGTAACGCAGGTAGCTCCAGTAAACCCCGTTGCACATGTACATGTACCAGCCGCCTCACAGGTACCACCGTTCATACACTGGCTGTTTTCAGTACAGTCGACTAAAGAAGGAGAGAAATTACCCTTATATTAATTACAAATCTTACATTGATCGCTAACGACCGAACAGCTCCAAAATCCTGGAATTTAAAAATGGTCTAATTAGAATTGTAAATCTAGAAAGTGTGTAGACTTTTTCACCTTCTTAATGAAAACTCGGGGAAGGGGGGTTGGGGAGGCTAAGTTAAATTACAATGACCATCATGGCATTTACAGTAAAACATCCTTCTTTGGTACTCTTTAGCTTGATCACTAGTTGGTTACGTTGTTTAAGTTTGATCTTTAATATTTTCGATCACAAATAAATACGATATTATATATGGCTAGTAATAGGTGTCTTCTGAAGAGATAGCAGATTAAAAAAACAAGTGTAAGTTTCATTTTGAGCAAAAAGATAACTTCCGGTATTGTTTTCAGAGCATTATTTTAAAGTAATACGATGTGGAAATGTCAAAATCGTGGTGAGTGAGTGTTGTTGTGATTATCCCTGAAAATGAATCCTTGTTCAGATATAAAAAGAAGTGAATAGATGAATAGGACGAAAAATAATGAACCCCATAGACATTTAAAGAATAGTTTGCATTAATAATGTTTTTCCAACTTAATTTCTCTGCGTGCATTATTAGGTCCCAGCCCTAAGTTGTTGCTTCATTTGCGTCTTGTAACAATATGCACTTGGTCTTTATTAAAATGCAAAATGTATTGAGAAGAAAACACAAATTCGATCTGTAATTCTCTAATAAAAATCGACAATTTTGTTAGCAGTAGCAGTAAAAGCTTAATATATCTTACCCGCTGTAACGCAGGTAGCTCCAGTAAACCCCGTTGCACATGTACATGTACCGGCCGCCTCACAGGTACCACCGTTCATACACTGGCTGTTTTCAGTACAGTCGACTAAAGAAGGAGAGAAATTACCCTTATATTAATTACAAATCTTACATTGATCGCTAACGACCGACCAGCTCCAAAATCCTGGAATTTAAGAATGGTGGAATTAGAATTGTAAATCTAGAAAGTGTGTAGACTTTTTCACCTTCTTAATGAAAACTCGGGGAGGAGGGGGGGGGTTGAGGATCGTGAGTAAATTACAATGACCATCATGGCATTTATAGTAAAACATCCTTCTTTGGTACTCTTTAGCTTGATCACTAGTTGGTTACGTTGTTTAAGTTTGATCTTTAATATTTTCTATCACAAATAAATACGATTTTATATATGGCTAGTAATAGGTGTCTTCTGAAGAGATAGCAGATAAAAAAAACAAGTGTAAGTTTCATTTTGAGCAAAAAGATAACTTCCGGTATTGTTTTCAGAGCATTATTTTAAAGTAATACGATGTGGAAATGTCAAAATCGTGGTGAGTGAGTGTTGTTGTGATTATCCCTGAAAATGAATCCTTGTTCAGATATAAGGAGAAGTGAATAGATGAATAGGACGAAAAGTAATGAACCACATAGACATTTCAAAGAATAGTTTCCATTAACAATGTTTTTCCAACTTAATTTCTCTGCGTGCATTATTAGGTCCCAGCCCTAAGTTGTTGCTTCATTTGCGCCTTGTAACAATATGCACTTGGTCTTTATTAAAATGCAAAGATTTATGAGAAGAAAACACAAATTCGATCTGCAATTCTCTAATAAGAATCGACAATTTTGTTAGCAGTAGCAGTAAAAGCTTAATATATCTTACCCGCTGTAACGCAGGTAGCTCCAGTAAACCCTGTTGCACATGTACATGTACCGGCCGCCTCACAGGTACCACCGTTCATACACTGGCTGTTTTCAGTACAGTCGACTAAAGAAGGAGAGAAATTACCCTTATATTAATTACAAATCTTACATTGATCGCTAACGACCGACCAGCTCCAAAATCCTGGAATTTAAGAATGGTCTAATTAGAATTGTAAATCTAGAAAGTGTGTAGACCTTTTAACCTTCTTAATGAAAACTCGGGGAGGGGGGTTGAGGAGCGTGAGTAAATTACAATGACCATCATGGCATTTATAGTAAAACATCCTTCTTTGGTACTCTTTAGCTTGATCACTAGTTGGTTACGTTGTTTAAGTTTGATCTTTAATATTTTCTATCACAAATAAATACGATTTATTATATGGCTAGTAATAGGTGTCTTCTGAAGAGATAGCAGATATAAAACAAGTGTAAGTTTCATTTGGAGCAAAAAGATAACTTCCGGTAATGTTTTCAGAGCATTATCTTAAAGTAATACGATGTGGAAATGCCAAAATCGTTGTGAGTGAGTGTTGTTGTGATTATCCCTGAAAATGAATCCTTATTCAGATATAAGGAGAAGTGAATAGATGAATAGGACGAATAGTAATGAACCACACAGACATTTCAAAGAATAGTTTGCATGTTTTTCCAACTTAATTTCTCTGCGTGCATTATTAGGTCCCAGCCCTAAGTTGTTGCTTCATTTGCGTCTTGTAACAATATGCACTTGGTCTTTATTAAAATGCAAAATGTATTGAGAAGAAAACACAAATTCGATCTGTAATTCTCTAATAAGAATCGACAATTTTGTTAGCAGTAGCAGTAAAAGCTTAATATATCTTACCCGCTGTAACGCAGGTAGCTCCAGTAAACCCCGTTGCACATGTACATGTACCAGCCGCCTCACAGGTACCACCGTTCATACACTGGCTGTTTTCAGTACAGTCGACTAAAGAAGGAGAGAAATTACCCTTATATTAATTACAAATCTTACATTGATCGCTAACGACCGACCAGCTCCAAAATCCTGGAATTTAAGAATGATCTAATTAGAATTGTAAATCTAGAAAGTGTGTAGACTTTTTCACCTTCTTAATGAAAACTCGGGGAAGGGGGTTGGGAAGGGTGAGTAAATTACAATGACCATCATGGCATTTATAGTAAAACATCCTTCTTTGGTACTCTTTAGCTTGATCACTAGTTGGTTACGTTGTTTAAGTTTGATCTTTAATATTTTCTATCACAAATAAATACGATTTATTATATGGCTAGTAATAGGTGTCTTCTGAAGAGATAGCAGATATAAAACAAGTGTAAGTTTCATTTGGAGCAAAAAGATAACTTCCGGTAACGTTTTCAGAGCATTATCTTAAAGTAATACGATGTGGAAATGTCAAAATCGTTGTGAGTGAGTGTTGTTGTGATTATCCCTGAAAATGAATCCTTATTCAGATATAAGGAGAAGTGAATAGATGAATAGGACGAATAGTAATGAACCACACAGACATTTCAAAGAATAGTTTGCATGTTTTTCCAACTTAATTTCTCTGCGTGCATTATTAGGTCCCAGCCCTAAGTTGTTGCTTCATTTGCGCCTTGTAACAATATGCACTTGGTCTTTATTAAAATGCAAAATTATTGAGAAGAAAACACAAATTCGATCTGTAATTCTCTAATAAGAATCGACAATTTTGTTAGCAGTAGCAGTAAAAGCTTAATATATCTTACCCGCTGTAACGCAGGTAGCTCCAGTAAACCCTGTTGCACATGTACATGTACCGGCCGCCTCACAGGTACCACCGTTCATACACTGGCTGTTTTCAGTACAGTCGACTAAAGAAGGAGAGAAATTACCCTTATATTAATTACAAATCTTACATTGATCGCTAACGACCGACCAGCTCCAAAATCCTGGAATTTAAGAATGGTCTAATTAGAATTGTAAATCTAGAAAGTGTGTAGACTTTTTCACCTTCTTAATGAAAACTCGGGGAGGGGGGTTGAGGAGGGTGAGTAAATTACAATGACCATCATGGCATTTATAGTAAAACATCCTTCTTTGGTACTCTTTAGCTTGATCACTAGTTGGTTACGTTGTTTAAGTTTGATCTTTAATATTTTCTATCACAAATAAATACGATTTTATATATGGCTAGTAATAGGTGTCTTCTGAAGAGATAGCAGATATAAAACAAGTGTAAGTTTCATTTGGAGCAAAAAGATAACTTCCGGTATTGTTTTCAGAGCATTATTTTAAAGTAATACGATGTGGAAATGTCAAAATCGTTGTGAGTGAGTGTTGTTGTGATTATCCCTGAAAATGAATCCTTATTCAGATATAAGGAGAAGTGAATAGATGAATAGGACGAATAGTAATGAACCACACAGACATTTCAAAGAATAGTTTGCATGTTTTTCCAACTTAATTTCTCTGCGTGCATTATTAGGTCCCAGCCCTAAGTTGTTGCTTCATTTGCGTCTTGTAACAATATGCACTTGGTCTTTATTAAAATGCAAAATGTATTGAGAAGAAAACACAAATTCGATCTGTAATTCTCTAATAAGAATCGACAATTTTGTTAGCAGTAGCAGTAAAAGCTTAATATATCTTACCCGCTGTAACGCAGGTAGCTCCAGTAAACCCCGTTGCACATGTACATGTACCAGCCGCCTCACAGGTACCACCGTTCATACACTGGCTGTTTTCAGTACAGTCGACTAAAGAAGGAGAGAAATTACCCTTATATTAATTACAAATCTTACATTGATCGCTAACGACCGACCAGCTCCAAAATCCTGGAATTTAAGAATGATCTAATTAGAATTGTAAATCTAGAAAGTGTGTAGACTTTTTCACCTTCTTAATGAAAACTCGGGGAGGGGGGTTGGGAGCGTAAGTAAATTACAATGACCATCATGGCATTTATAGTAAAACATCCTTCTTTGGTACTCTTTAGCTTGATCACTAGTTGGTTACGTTGTTTAAGTTTGATCTTTAATATTTTCTATCACAAATAAATACGATTTATTATATGGCTAGTAATAGGTGTCTTCTGAAGAGATAGCAGATAAAAAACAAGTGTAAGTTTCATTTGGAGCAAAAAGATAACTTCCGGTAACGTTTTCAGAGCATTATCTTAAAGTAATACGATGTGGAAATGCCAAAATCGTTGTGAGTGAGTGTTGTTGTGATTATCCCTGAAAATGAATCCTTATTCAGATATAAGGAGAAGTGAATAGATGAATAGGACGAATAGTAATGAACCACACAGACATTTCAAAGAATAGTTTGCATGTTTTTCCAACTTAATTTCTCTGCGTGCATTATTAGGTCCCAGCCCTAAGTTGTTGCTTCATTTGCGTCTTGTAACAATATGCACTTGGTCTTTATTAAAATGCAAAATGTATTGAGAAGAAAACACAAATTCGATCTGTAATTCTCTAATAAGAATCGACAATTTTGTTAGCAGTAGCAGTAAAAGCTTAATATATCTTACCCGCTGTAACGCAGGTAGCTCCAGTAAACCCTGTTGCACATGTACATGTACCGGCCGCCTCACAGGTACCACCGTTCATACACTGGCTGTTTTCAGTACAGTCGACTAAAGAAGGAGAGAAATTACCCTTATATTAATTACAAATCTTACATTGATCGCTAACGACCGACCAGCTCCAAAATCCTGAAATTAAGAATGGTGGAATTAGAATTGTAAATCTAGAAAGTGTGTAGACTTTTTCACCTTCTTAATGAAAACTCGGGGAGGGGGGTTGAGGAGCGTGAGTAAATTACAATGACCATCGTGGCATTTATAGTAAAACATCCTTCTTTGGTACTCTTTAGCTTGATCACTAGTTGGTTACGTTGTTTAAGTTTGATCTTTAATATTTTCGATCACAAATAAATACGATTTATTATATGGCTAGTAATAGGTGTCTTCTGAAGAGATAGCATATATAAAACAAGTGTAAGTTTCATTTGGAGCAAAAAGATAACTTCCGGTAATGTTTTCAGAGCATTATTTTAAAGTAATACGATGTGGAAATGTCAAAATCGTGGTGAGTGAGTGTTGTTGTGATTATCCCTGAAAATGAATCCTTATTCAGATATAAGGAGAAGTGAATAGATGAATAGGACGAATAGTAATGAACCACACAGACATTTCAAAGAATAGTTTGCATGTTTTTCCAACTTAATTTCTCTGCGTGCATTATTAGGTCCCAGCCCTAAGTTGTTGCTTCATTTGCGCCTTGTAACAATATGCACTTGGTCTTTATTAAAATGCAAAGATTATTGAGAAGAAAACACAAATTCGATCTGTAGTTCTCTAATAAGAATCGACAATTTTGTTAGCAGTAGCAGTAAAAGCTTAATATATCTTACCCGCTGTAACGCAGGTAGCTCCAGTAAACCCTGTTGCACATGTACATGTACCGGCCGCCTCACAGGTACCACCGTTCATACACTGGCTGTTTTCAGTACAGTCGACTAAAGAAGGAGAGAAATTACCCTTATATTAATTACAAATCTTACATTGATCGCTAACGACCGACCAGCTCCAAAATCCTGAAAATTAAGAATGGTGGAATTAGAATTGTAAATCTAGAAAGTGTGTAGACTTTTTCACCTTCTTAATGAAAACTCGGGGAGGGGGGTTGAGGAGCGTGAGTAAATTACAATGACCATCATGGCATTTATAGTAAAACATCCTTCTTTGGTACTCTTTAGCTTGATCACTAGTTGGTTACGTTGTTTAAGTTTGATCTTTAATATTTTCTATCACAAATAAATACGATTTTATATTTGGCTAGTAATAGGTGTCTTCTGAAGAGATAGCAGATAAAAAAAACAAGTGTAAGTTTCATTTTGAGCAAAAAGATAACTTCCGGTATTGTTTTCAGAGCATTATTTTAAAGTAATACGATGTGGAAATGTCAAAATCGTGGTGAGTGAGTGTTGTTGTGATTATCCCTGAAAATGAATCCTTGTTCAGATATAAGGAGAAGTGAATAGATGAATAGGACGAATAGTAATGAACCACACAGACATTTCAAAGAATAGTTTGCATGTTTTTCCAACTTAATTTCTCTGCGTGCATTATTAGGTCCCAGCCCTAAGTTGTTGCTTCATTTGCGTCTTGTAACAATATGCACTTGGTCTTTATTAAAATGCAAAATGTATTGAGAAGAAAACACAAATTCGATCTGTAATTCTCTAATAAGAATCGACAATTTTGTTAGCAGTAGCAGTAAAAGCTTAATATATCTTACCCGCTGTAACGCAGGTAGCTCCAGTAAACCCTGTTGCACATGTACATGTACCGGCCGCCTCACAGGTACCACCGTTCATACACTGGCTGTTTTCAGTACAGTCGACTAAAGAAGGAGAGAAATTACCCTTATATTAATTACAAATCTTACATTGATCGCTAACGACCGACCAGCTCCAAAATCCTGGAATTTAAGAATGGTCTAATTAGAATTGTAAATCTAGAAAGTGTGTAGACTTTTTCACCTTCTTAATGAAAACTCGGGGAGGGGGGTTGAGGAGCGTGAGTAAATTACAATGACCATCATGGCATTTATAGTAAAACATCCTTCTTTGGTACTCTTTAGCTTGATCACTAGTTGGTTACGTTGTTTAAGTTTGATCTTTAATATTTTCTATCACAAATAAATACGATTTATTATATGGCTAGTAATAGGTGTCTTCTGAAGAGATAGCAGATATAAAACAAGTGTAAGTTTCATTTGGAGCAAAAAGATAACTTCCGGTAATGTTTTCAGAGCATTATCTTAAAGTAATACGATGTGGAAATGCCAAAATCGTTGTGAGTGAGTGTTGTTGTGATTATCCCTGAAAATGAATCCTTATTCAGATATAAGGAGAAGTGAATAGATGAATAGGACGAATAGTAATGAACCACACAGACATTTCAAAGAATAGTTTGCATGTTTTTCCAACTTAATTTCTCTGCGTGCATTATTAGGTCCCAGCCCTAAGTTGTTGCTTCATTTGCGTCTTGTAACAATATGCACTTGGTCTTTATTAAAATGCAAAATGTATTGAGAAGAAAACACAAATTCGATCTGTAATTCTCTAATAAGAATCGACAATTTTGTTAGCAGTAGCAGTAAAAGCTTAATATATCTTACCCGCTGTAACGCAGGTAGCTCCAGTAAACCCTGTTGCACATGTACATGTACCGGCCGCCTCACAGGTACCACCGTTCATACACTGGCTGTTTTCAGTACAGTCGACTAAAGAAGGAGAGAAATTACCCTTATATTAATTACAAATCTTACATTGATCGCTAACGACCGACCAGCTCCAAAATCCTGAAAATTAAGAATGGTGGAATTAGAATTGTAAATCTAGAAAGTGTGTAGACTTTTTCACCTTCTTAATGAAAACTCGGGGAGGGGGGTTGAGGAGCGTGAGTAAATTACAATGACCATCGTGGCATTTATAGTAAAACATCCTTCTTTGGTACTCTTTAGCTTGATCACTAGTTGGTTACGTTGTTTAAGTTTGATCTTTAATATTTTCGATCACAAATAAATACGATTTATTATATGGCTAGTAATAGGTGTCTTCTGAAGAGATAGCATATATAAAACAAGTGTAAGTTTCATTTGGAGCAAAAAGATAACTTCCGGTAATGTTTTCAGAGCATTATTTAAAGTAATACGATGTGGAAATGTCAAAATCGTTGTGAGTGAGTGTTGTTGTGATTATCCCTGAAAATGAATCCTTATTCAGATATAAGGAGAAGTGAATAGATGAATAGGACGAATAGTAATGAACCACACAGACATTTCAAAGAATAGTTTGCATGTTTTTCCAACTTAATTTCTCTGCGTGCATTATTAGGTCCCAGCCCTAAGTTGTTGCTTCATTTGCGCCTTGTAACAATATGCACTTGGTCTTTATTAAAATGCAAAGATTATTGAGAAGAAAACACAAATTCGATCTGTAGTTCTTTAATAAGAATCGACAATTTTGTTAGCAGTAGCAGTAAAAGCTTAATATATCTTACCCGCTGTAACGCAGGTAGCTCCAGTAAACCCTGTTGCACATGTACATGTACCGGCCGCCTCACAGGTACCACCGTTCATACACTGGCTGTTTTCAGTACAGTCGACTAAAGAAGGAGAGAAATTACCCTTATATTAATTACAAATCTTACATTGATCGCTAACGACCGACCAGCTCCAAAATCCTGAAAATTAAGAATGGTGGAATTAGAATTGTAAATCTAGAAAGTGTGTAGACTTTTTCACCTTCTTAATGAAAACTCGGGGAGGGGGGTTGAGGAGCGTGAGTAAATTACAATGACCATCGTGGCATTGATAGTAAAACATCCTTCTTTGGTACTCTTTAGCTTGATCACTAGTTGGTTACGTTGTTTAAGTTTGATCTTTAATATTTTCTATCACAAATAAATACGATTTTATATTTGGCTAGTAATAGGTGTCTTCTGAAGAGATAGCAAATAAAAAAAACAAGTGTAAGTTTCATTTTGAGCAAAAAGATAACTTCCGGTATTGTTTTCAGAGCATTATTTTAAAGTAATACGATGTGGAAATGTCAAAATCGTGGTGAGTGAGTGTTGTTGTGATTATCCCTGAAAATGAATCCTTGTTCAGATATTAGGAGAAGTGAATAGATGAATAGAACGAATAGTAATGAACCACACAGACATTTCAAAGAATAGTTTGCATGTTTTTCCAACTTAATTTCTCTGCGTGCATTATTAGGTCCCAGCCCTAAGTTGTTGCTTCATTTGCGTCTTGTAACAATATGCACTTGGTCTTTATTAAAATGCAAAATGTATTGAGAAGAAAACACAAATTCGATCTGTAATTCTCTAATAAGAATCGACAATTTTGTTAGCAGTAGCAGTAAAAGCTTAATATATCTTACCCGCTGTAACGCAGGTAGCTCCAGTAAACCCTGTTGCACATGTACATGTACCAGCCGCCTCACAGGTACCACCGTTCATACACTGGCTGTTTTCAGTACAGTCGACTAAAGAAGGAGAGAAATTACCCTTATATTAATTACAAATCTTACATTGATCGCTAACGACCGACCAGCTCCAAAATCCTGGAATTTAAGAATGATCTAATTAGAATTGTAAATCTAGAAAGTGTGTAGACTTTTTCACCTTCTTAATGAAAACTCGGGGAAGGGGGGTTGGGAAGGGTAAGTAAATTACAATGACCATCATGGCATTTATAGTAAAACATCCTTCTTTGGTACTCTTTAGCTTGATCACTAGTTGGTTACGTTGTTTAAGTTTGATCTTTAATATTTTCTATCACAAATAAATACGATTTATTATATGGCTAGTAATAGGTGTTTTCTGAAGAGATAGCAGATATAAAACAAGTGTAAGTTTCATTTGGAGCAAAAAGATAACTTCCGGTAACGTTTTCAGAGCATTATCTTAAAGTAATACGATGTGGAAATGCCAAAATCGTTGTGAGTGAGTGTTGTTGTGATTATCCCTGAAAATGAATCCTTATTCAGATATAAGGAGAGGTGAATAGATAAATAGGACGAATAGTAATGAACCACACAGACATTTCAAAGAATAGTTTGCATGTTTTTCCAACTTAATTTCTCTGCGTGCATTATTAGGTCCCAGCCCTAAGTTGTTGCTTCATTTGCGTCTTGTAACAATATGCACTTGGTCTTTATTAAAATGCAAAATGTATTGAGAAGAAAACACAAATTCGATCTGTAATTCTCTAATAAGAATCGACAATTTTGTTAGCAGTAGCAGTAAAAGCTTAATATATCTTACCCGCTGTAACGCAGGTAGCTCCAGTAAACCCTGTTGCACATGTACATGTACCGGCCGCCTCACAGGTACCACCGTTCATACACTGGCTGTTTTCAGTACAGTCGACTAAAGAAGGAGAGAAATTACCCTTATATTAATTACAAATCTTACATTGATCGCTAACGACCGACCAGCTCCAAAATCCTGAAAATTAAGAATGGTGGAATTAGAATTGTAAATCTAGAAAGTGTGTAGACTTTTTCACCTTCTTAATGAAAACTCGGGGAGGGGGGTTGAGGAGCGTGAGTAAATTACAATGACCATCGTGGCATTTATAGTAAAACATCCTTCTTTGGTACTCTTTAGCTTGATCACTAGTTGGTTACGTTGTTTAAGTTTGATCTTAATATTTTCGATCACAAATAAATACGATTTATTATATGGCTAGTAATAGGTGTCTTCTGAAGAGATAGCATATATAAAACAAGTGTAAGTTTCATTTGGAGCAAAAAGATAACTTCCGGTAATGTTTTCAGAGCATTATCTTAAAGTAATACGATGTGGAAATGCCAAAATCGTTGTGAGTGAGTGTTGTTGTGATTATCCCTGAAAATGAATCCTTATTCAGATATAAGGAGAAGTGAATAGATGAATAGGACGAATAGTAATGAACCACACAGACATTTCAAAGAATAGTTTGCATGTTTTTCCAACTTAATTTCTCTGCGTGCATTATTAGGTCCCAGCCCTAAGTTGTTGCTTCATTTGCGCCTTGTAACAATATGCACTTGGTCTTTATTAAAATGCAAAGAATATTGAGAAGAAAACACAAATTCGATCTGTAGTTCTCTAATAAGAATCGACAATTTTGTTAGCAGTAGCAGTAAAAGCTTAATATATCTTACCCGCTGTAACGCAGGTAGCTCCAGTAAACCCTGTTGCACATGTACATGTACCGGCCGCCTCACAGGTACCACCGTTCATACACTGGCTGTTTTCAGTACAGTCGACTAAAGAAGGAGAGAAATTACCCTTATATTAATTACAAATCTTACATTGATCGCTAACGACCGAACAGCTCCAAAATCCTGGAATTTAAGAATGGTCTAATTAGAATTGTAAATCTAGAAAGTGTGTAGACTTTTTCACCTTCTTAATGAAAACTCGGGGAGGGGGGTTGAGGAGCGTGAGTAAATTACAATGACCATCATGGCATTTATAGTAAAACATCCTTCTTTGGTACTCTTTAGCTTGATCACTAGTTGGTTACGTTGTTTAAGTTTGATCTTTAATATTTTCTATCACAAATAAATACGATATTATATATGGCTAGTAATAGGTGTCTTCTGAAGAGATAGCAGATAAAAAAAACAAGTGTAAGTTTCATTTTGAGCAAAAAGATAACTTCCGGTATTGTTTTCAGAGCATTATTTTAAAGTAATACGATGTGGAAATGTCAAAATCGTGGTGAGTGAGTGTTGTTGTGATTATCCCTGAAAATGAATCCTTGTTCAGATATAAGGAGAAGTGAATAGATGAATAGGACGAATAGTAATGAACCACACAGACATTTCAAAGAATAGTTTGCATTAATAATGTTTTTCCAACTTAATTTCTCTGCGTGCATTATTAGGTCCCAGCCCTAAGTTGTTGCTTCATTTGCGCCTTGTAACAATATGCACTTGGTCTTTATTAAAATGCAAAGATTATTGAGAAGAAAACACAAATTCGATCTGTAGTTCTCTAATAAGAATCGACAATTTTGTTAGCAGTAGCAGTAAAAGCTTAATATATCTTACCCGCTGTAACGCAGGTAGCTCCAGTAAACCCTGTTGCACATGTACATGTACCGGCCGCCTCACAGGTACCACCGTTCATACACTGGCTGTTTTCAGTACAGTCGACTAAAGAAGGAGAGAAATTACCCTTATATTAATTACAAATCTTACATTGATCGCTAACGACCGAACAGCTCCAAAATCCTGGAATTTAAGAATGGTCTAATTAGAATTGTAAATCTAGAAAGTGTGTAGACTTTTTCACCTTCTTAATGAAAACTCGGGGAGGGGGGGTTGAGGAGCGTGAGTAAATTACAATGACCATCATGGCATTTATAGTAAAACATCCTTCTTTGGTACTCTTTAGCTTGATCACTAGTTGGTTACGTTGTTTAAGTTTGATCTTTAATATTTTCTATCACAAATAAATACGATTTATTATATGGCTAGTAATAGGTGTCTTCTGAAGAGATAGCAGATATAAAACAAGTGTAAGTTTCATTTGGAGCAAAAAGATAACTTCCGGTAATGTTTTCAGAGCATTATCTTAAAGTAATACGATGTGGAAATGCCAAAATCGTTGTGAGTGAGTGTTGTTGTGATTATCCCTGAAAATGAATCCTTATTCAGATATAAGGAGAAGTGAATAGATGAATAGGACGAATAGTAATGAACCACACAGACATTTCAAAGAATAGTTTGCATGTTTTTCCAACTTAATTTCTCTGCGTGCATTATTAGGTCCCAGCCCTAAGTTGTTGCTTCATTTGCGTCTTGTAACAATATGCACTTGGTCTTTATTAAAATGCAAAATGTATTGAGAAGAAAACACAAATTCGATCTGTAATTCTCTAATAAGAATCGACAATTTTGTTAGCAGTAGCAGTAAAAGCTTAATATATCTTACCCGCTGTAACGCAGGTAGCTCCAGTAAACCCCGTTGCACATGTACATGTACCAGCCGCCTCACAGGTACCACCGTTCATACACTGGCTGTTTTCAGTACAGTCGACTAAAGAAGGAGAGAAATTACCCTTATATTAATTACAAATCTTACATTGATCGCTAACGACCGACCAGCTCCAAAATCCTGGAATTTAAGAATGATCTAATTAGAATTGTAAATCTAGAAAGTGTGTAGACTTTTTCACCTTCTTAATGAAAACTCGGGGAAGGGGGGTTGGGAGGGTAAGTAAATTACAATGACCATCATGGCATTTATAGTAAAACATCCTTCTTTGGTACTCTTTAGCTTGATCACTAGTTGGTTACGTTGTTTAAGTTTGATCTTTAATATTTTCGATCACAAATAAATACGATTTATTATATGGCTAGTAATAGGTGTCTTCTGAAGAGATAGCATATATAAAACAAGTGTAAGTTTCATTTGGAGCAAAAAGATAACTTCCGGTAACGTTTTCAGAGCATTATCTTAAAGTAATACGATGTGGAAATGCCAAAATCGTTGTGAGTGAGTGTTGTTGTGATTATCCCTGAAAATGAATCCTTATTCAGATATAAGGAGAAGTGAATAGATGAATAGGACGAATAGTAATGAACCACACAGACATTTCAAAGAATAGTTTGCATGTTTTTCCAACTTAATTTCTCTGCGTGCATTATTAGGTCCCAGCCCTAAGTTGTTGCTTCATTTGCGCCTTGTAACAATATGCACTTGGTCTTTATTAAAATGCAAAGATTATTGAGAAGAAAACACAAATTCGATCTGTAGTTCTCTAATAAGAATCGACAATTTTGTTAGCAGTAGCAGTAAAAGCTTAATATATCTTACCCGCTGTAACGCAGGTAGCTCCAGTAAACCCTGTTGCACATGTACATGTACCGGCCGCCTCACAGGTACCACCGTTCATACACTGGCTGTTTTCAGTACAGTCGACTAAAGAAGGAGAGAAATTACCCTTATATTAATTACAAATCTTACATTGATCGCTAACGACCGAACAGCTCCAAAATCCTGGAATTTAAGAATGGTCTAATTAGAATTGTAAATCTAGAAAGTGTGTAGACTCTTTCACCTTCTTAATGAAAACTCGGGGAGGGGGGAGGAGAGTGAGTAAATTACAATGACCATCATGGCATTCATAGTAAAACATCCTTCTTTGGTACTCTTTAGCTTGATCACTAGTTGGTTACGTTGTTTAAGTTTGATCTTTAATATTTTCTATCACAAATAAATACGATTTATTATATGGCTAGTAATAGGTGTTTTCTGAAGAGATAGCAGATATAAAACAAGTGTAAGTTTCATTTGGAGCAAAAAGATAACTTCCGGTAACGTTTTCAGAGCATTATCTTAAAGTAATACGATGTGGAAATGCCAAAATCGTTGTGAGTGAGTGTTGTTGTGATTATCCCTGAAAATGAATCCTTATTCAGATATAAGGAGAAGTGAATAGATGAATAGGACGAATAGTAATGAACCACACAGACATTTCAAAGAATAGTTTGCATGTTTTTCCAACTTAATTTCTCTGCGTGCATTATTAGGTCCCAGCCCTAAGTTGTTGCTTCATTTGCGTCTTGTAGCAATATGCACTTGGTCTTTATTAAAATGCAAAATGTATTGAGAAGAAAACACAAATTCGATCTGTAATTCTCTAATAAGAATCGACAATTTTGTTAGCAGTAGCAGTAAAAGCTTAATATATCTTACCCGCTGTAACGCAGGTAGCTCCAGTAAACCCTGTTGCACATGTACATGTACCGGCCGCCTCACAGGTACCACCGTTCATACACTGGCTGTTTTCAGTACAGTCGACTAAAGAAGGAGAGAAATTACCCTTATATTAATTACAAATCTTACATTGATCGCTAACGACCGAACAGCTCCAAAATCCTGGAATTTAAGAATGATCTAATTAGAATTGTAAATCTAGAAAGTGTGGAGACTTTTTCACCTTCTTAATGAAAACTCGGGGAGGGGGGTTGAGGAGCGTGAGTAAATTACAATGACCATCATGGCATTTATAGTAAAACATCCTTCTTTGGTACTCTTTAGCTTGATCACTAGTTGGTTACGTTGTTTAAGTTTGATCTTTAATATTTTCTATCACAAATAAATACGATATTATATATGGCTAGTAATAGGTGTCTTCTGAAGAGATAGCAGATAAAAAAAACAAGTGTAAGTTTCATTTTGAGCAAAAAGATAACTTCCGGTATTGTTTTCAGAGCATTATTTTAAAGTAATACGATGTGGAAATGTCAAAATCGTGGTGAGTGAGTGTTGTTGTGATTATCCCTGAAAATGAATCCTTGTTCAGATATAAGGAGAAGTGAATAGATGAATAGGACGAATAGTAATGAACCACACAGACATTTCAAAGAATAGTTTGCATTAATAATGTTTTTCCAACTTAATTTCTCTGCGTGCATTATTAGGTCCCAGCCCTAAGTTGTTGCTTCATTTGCGCCTTGTAACAATATGCACTTGGTCTTTATTAAAATGCAAAGATTATTGAGAAGAAAACACAAATTCGATCTGTAGTTCTTTAATAAGAATCGACAATTTTGTTAGCAGTAGCAGTAAAAGCTTAATATATCTTACCCGCTGTAACGCAGGTAGCTCCAGTAAACCCTGTTGCACATGTACATGTACCGGCCGCCTCACAGGTACCACCGTTCATACACTGGCTGTTTTCAGTACAGTCGACTAAAGAAGGAGAGAAATTACCCTTATATTAATTACAAATCTTACATTGATCGCTAACGACCGAACAGCTCCAAAATCCTGGAATTTAAGAATGGTCTAATTAGAATTGTAAATCTAGAAAGTGTGTATACTCTTTCACCTTCTTAATGAAAACTCGGGGAGGGGGTGGTTGAGGAGAGTGAGTAAATTACAATGACCATCATGGCATTTATAGTAAAACATCCTTCTTTGGTACTCTTTAGCTTGATCACTAGTTGGTTACGTTGTTTAAGTTTGATCTTTAATATTTTCTATCACAAATAAATACGATTTATTATATGGCTAGTAATAGGTGTTTTCTGAAGAGATAGCAGATATAAAACAAGTGTAAGTTTCATTTGGAGCAAAAAGATAACTTCCGGTAATGTTTTCAGAGCATTATCTTAAAGTAATACGATGTGGAAATGCCAAAATCGTTGTGAGTGAGTGTTGTTGTGATTATCCCTGAAAATGAATCCTTATTCAGATATAAGGAGAAGTGAATAGATGAATAGGACGAATAGTAATGAACCACACAGACATTTCAAAGAATAGTTTGCATGTTTTTCCAACTTAATTTCTCTGCGTGCATTATTAGGTCCCAGCCCTAAGTTGTTGCTTCATTTGCGTCTTGTAGCAATATGCACTTGGTCTTTATTAAAATGCAAAATGTATTGAGAAGAAAACACAAATTCGATCTGTAATTCTCTAATAAGAATCGACAATTTTGTTAGCAGTAGCAGTAAAAGCTTAATATATCTTACCCGCTGTAACGCAGGTAGCTCCAGTAAACCCTGTTGCACATGTACATGTACCGGCCGCCTCACAGGTACCACCGTTCATACACTGGCTGTTTTCAGTACAGTCGACTAAAGAAGGAGAGAAATTACCCTTATATTAATTACAAATCTTTCATTGATCGCTAACGACCGAACAGCTCCAAAATCCTGGAATTTAAGAATGATCTAATTAGAATTGTAAATCTAGAAAGTGTGTAGACTTGTTCACCTTCTTAATGAAAACTCGGGGAGGGGGGGGTTGAGGAGCGTGAGTAAATTACAATGACCATCATGGCATTTATAGTAAAACATCCTTCTTTGGTACTCTTTAGCTTGATCACTAGTTGGTTACGTTGTTTAAGTTTGTTCTTTAATATTTTCTATCACAAATAAATACGATATTATATATGGCTAGTAATAGGTGTCTTCTGAAGAGATAGCAGATAAAAAACAAGTGTAAGTTTCATTTTGAGCAAAAAGATAACTTCCGGTATTGTTTTCAGAGCATTATTTTAAAGTAATACGATGTGGAAATGTCAAAATCGTGGTGAGTGAGTGTTGTTGTGATTATCCCTGAAAATGAATCCTTGTTCAGATATAAGGAGAAGTGAATAGATGAATAGGACGAATAGTAATGAACCACACAGACATTTCAAAGAATAGTTTGCATTAATAATGTTTTTCCAACTTAATTTCTCTGCGTGCATTATTAGGTCCCAGCCCTAAGTTGTTGCTTCATTTGCGCCTTGTAACAATATGCACTTGGTCTTTATTAAAATGCAAAGATTATTGAGAAGAAAACACAAATTCGATCTGTAGTTCTTTAATAAGAATCGACAATTTTGTTAGCAGTAGCAGTAAAAGCTTAATATATCTTACCCGCTGTAACGCAGGTAGCTCCAGTAAACCCTGTTGCACATGTACATGTACCGGCCGCCTCACAGGTACCACCGTTCATACACTGGCTGTTTTCAGTACAGTCGACTAAAGAAGGGAGAAATTACCCTTATATTAATTACAAATCTTACATTGATCGCTAACGACCGAACAGCTCCAAAATCCTGGAATTTAAGAATGGTCTAATTAGAATTGTAAATCTAGAAAGTGTGTATACTCTTTCACCTTCTTAATGAAAACTCGGGGAGGGGGGTGGTTGAGGAGAGTGAGTAAATTACAATGACCATCATGGCATTTATAGTAAAACATCCTTCTTTGGTACTCTTTAGCTTGATCACTAGTTGGTTACGTTGTTTAAGTTTGATCTTTAATATTTTCTATCACAAATAAATACGATTTATTATATGGCTAGTAATAGGTGTTTTCTGAAGAGATAGCAGATATAAAACAAGTGTAAGTTTCATTTGGAGCAAAAAGATAACTTCCGGTAATGTTTTCAGAGCATTATCTTAAAGTAATACGATGTGGAAATGCCAAAATCGTTGTGAGTGAGTGTTGTTGTGATTATTCCTGAAAATGAATCCTTATTCAGATATAAGGAGAAGTGAATAGATGAATAGGACGAATAGTAATGAACCACACAGACATTTCAAAGAATAGTTTGCATGTTTTTCCAACTTAATTTCTCTGCGTGTATTATTAGGTCCCAGCCCTAAGTTGTTGCTTCATTTGCGTCTTGTAACAATATGCACTTGGTCTTTATTAAAATGCAAAATGTATTGAGAAGAAAACACAAATTCGATCTGTAATTCTCTAATAAGCATCGACAATTTTGTTAGCAGTAGCAGTAAAAGCTTAATATATCTTACCCGCTGTAACGCAGGTAGCTCCAGTAAACCCCGTTGCACATGTACATGTACCAGCCGCCTCACAGGTACCACCGTTCATACACTGGCTGTTTTCAGTACAGTCGACTAAAGAAGGAGAGAAATTACCCTTATATTAATTACAAATCTTACATTGATCGCTAACGACCGAACAGCTCCAAAATCCTGGAATTTAAGAATGATCTAATTAGAATTGTAAATCTAGAAAGTGTGTAGACTTTTTCACCTTCTTAATGAAAACTCGGGGAAGGGGGGTTGGGAAGGGTAAGTAAATTACAATGACCATCATGGCATTTATAGTAAAACATCCTTCTTTGGTACTCTTTAGCTTGATCACTAGTTGGTTACGTTGTTTAAGTTTGATCTTTAATATTTTCGATCACAAATAAATACGATTTATTATATGGCTAGTAATAGGTGTCTTCTGAAGAGATAGCATATATAAAACAAGTGTAAGTTTCATTTGGAGCAAAAAGATAACTTCCGGTAACGTTTTCAGAGCATTATCTTAAAGTAATACGATGTGGAAATGCCAAAATCGTTGTGAGTGAGTGTTGTTGTGATTATCCCTGAAAATGAATCCTTATTCAGATATAAGGAGAAGTGAATAGATGAATAAAACGAATAGTAATGAACCACACAGACATTTCAAAGAATAGTTTGCATGTTTTTCCAACTTAATTTCTCTGCGTGCATTATTAGGTCCCAGTCCTAAGTTGTTGCTTCATTTGCGCCTTGTAACAATATGCACTTGGTCTTTATTAAAATGCAAAGATTATTGAGAAGAAAACACAAATTCGATCTGTAGTTCTTTAATAAGAATCGACAATTTTGTTAGCAGTAGCAGTAAAAGCTTAATATATCTTACCCGCTGTAACGCAGGTAGCTCCAGTAAACCCTGTTGCACATGTACATGTACCGGCCGCCTCACAGGTACCACCGTTCATACACTGGCTGTTTTCAGTACAGTCGACTAAAGAAGGAGAGAAATTACCCTTATATTAATTACAAATCTTACATTGATCGCTAACGACCGAACAGCTCCAAAATCCTGGAATTTAAGAATGGTCTAATTAGAATTGTAAATCTAGAAAGTGTGTATACTCTTTCACCTTCTTAATGAAAACTCGGGGAGGGGGGGAGGAGAGTGAGTAAATTACAATGACCATCATGGCATTCATAGTAAAACATCCTTCTTTGGTACTCTTTAGCTTGATCACTAGTTGGTTACGTTGTTTAAGTTTGATCTTTAATATTTTCTATCACAAATAAATACGATTTATTATATGGCTAGTAATAGGTGTTTTCTGAAGAGATAGCAGATATAAAACAAGTGTAAGTTTCATTTGGAGCAAAAAGATAACTTCCGGTAACGTTTTCAGAGCATTATCTTAAAGTAATACGATGTGGAAATGCCAAAATCGTTGTGAGTGAGTGTTGTTGTGATTATCCCTGAAAATGAATCCTTATTCAGATATAAGGAGAAGTGAATAGATGAATAGGACGAATAGTAATCAACCACACAGACATTTTAAAGAATAGTTTGCATGTTTTTCCAACTTAATTTCTCTGCGTGCATTATTAGGTCCCAGCCCTAAGTTGTTGCTTCATTTGCGTCTTGTAGCAATATGCACTTGGTCTTTATTAAAATGCAAAATGTATTGAGAAGAAAACACAAATTCGATCTGTAATTCTCTAATAAGAATCGACAATTTTGTTAGCAGTAGCAGTAAAAGCTTAATATATCTTACCCGCTGTAACGCAGGTAGCTCCAGTAAACCCTGTTGCACATGTACATGTACCGGCCGCCTCACAGGTACCACCGTTCATACACTGGCTGTTTTCAGTACAGTCGACTAAAGAAGGAGAGAAATTACCCTTATATTAATTACAAATCTTTCATTGATCGCTAACGACCGAACAGCTCCAAAATCCTGGAATTTAAGAATGATCTAATTAGAATTGTAAATCTAGAAAGTGTGGAGACTTGTTCACCTTCTTAATGAAAACTCGGGGAGGGGGGGGTTGAGGAGCGTGAGTAAATTACAATGACCATCATGGCATTTATAGTAAAACATCCTTCTTTGGTACTCTGTAGCTTGATCACTAGTTGGTTACGTTGTTTAAGTTTGTTCTTTAATATTTTCTATCACAAATAAATACGATATTATATATGGCTAGTAATAGGTGTCTTCTGAAGAGATAGCAGATAAAAAAAACAAGTGTAAGTTTCATTTTGAGCAAAAAGATAACTTCCGGTATTGTTTTCAGAGCATTATTTTAAAGTAATACGATGTGGAAATGTCAAAATCGTGGTGAGTGAGTGTTGTTGTGATTATCCCTGAAAATGAATCCTTGTTCAGATATAAGGAGAAGTGAATAGATGAATAGGACGAATAGTAATGAACCACACAGACATTTCAAAGGATAGTTTGCATTAATAATGTTTTTCCAACTTAATTTCTCTGCGTGCATTATTAGGTCCCAGCCCTAAGTTGTTGCTTCATTTGCGCCTTGTAACAATATGCACTTGGTCTTTATTAAAATGCAAAGATTATTGAGAAGAAAACACAAATTCGATCTGTAGTTCTTTAATAAGAATCGACAATTTTGTTAGCAGTAGCAGTAAAAGCTTAATATATCTTACCCGCTGTAACGCAGGTAGCTCCAGTAAACCCTGTTGCACATGTACATGTACCGGCCGCCTCACAGGTACCACCGTTCATACACTGGCTGTTTTCAGTACAGTCGACTAAAGAAGGAGAGAAATTACCCTTATATTAATTACAAATCTTACATTGATCGCTAACGACCGAACAGCTCCAAAATCCTGGAATTTAAGAATGGTCTAATTAGAATTGTAAATCTAGAAAGTGTGTATACTCTTTCACCTTCTTAATGAAAACTCGGGGAGGGGGGTGGTTGAGGAGAGTGAGTAAATTACAATGACCATCATGGCATTTATAGTAAAACATCCTTCTTTGGTACTCTTTAGCTTGATCACTAGTTGGTTACGTTGTTTAAGTTTGATCTTTAATATTTTCTATCACAAATAAATACGATTTATTATATGGCTAGTAATAGGTGTTTTCTGAAGAGATAGCAGATATAAAACAAGTGTAAGTTTCATTTGGAGCAAAAAGATAACTTCCGGTAATGTTTTCAGAGCATTATCTTAAAGTAATACGATGTGGAAATGCCAAAATCGTTGTGAGTGAGTGTTGTTGTGATTATTCCTGAAAATGAATCCTTATTCAGATATAAGGAGAAGTGAATAGATGAATAGGACGAATAGTAATGAACCACACAGACATTTCAAAGAATAGTTTGCATGTTTTTCCAACTTAATTTCTCTGCGTGCATTATTAGGTCCCAGCCCTAAGTTGTTGCTTCATTTGCGTCTTGTAGCAATATGCACTTGGTCTTTATTAAAATGCAAAATGTATTGAGAAGAAAACACAAATTCGATCTGTAGTTCTCTAATAAGAATTGACAATTTTGTTAGCAGTAGCAGTAAAAGCTTAATATATCTTACCCGCTGTAACGCAGGTAGCTCCAGTAAACCCCGTTGCACATGTACATGTACCGGCCGCCTCACAGGTACCACCGTTCATACACTGGCTGTTTTCAGTACAGTCGACTAAAGAAGGAGAGAAATTACCCTTATATTAATTACAAATCTTACATTGATCGCTAACGACCGACCAGCTCCAAAATCCTGGAAATTAAGAATGGTGGAATTAGAATTGTAAATCTAGAAAGTTTGTAGACTTTTTTACCTTCTTAATGAAAACTCGGGGAGGGGGGTTGAGGAGCGTGAGTAAATTACAATGACCATCGTGGCATTTATAGTAAAACATCCTTCTTTGGTACTCTTTAGCTTGATCACTAGTTGGTTAAGTTGTTTAAGTTTGATCTTTAATATTTTCTATCACAAATAAATACGATTTATTATATGGCTAGTAATAGGTGTTTTCTGAAGAGATAGCAGATATAAAACAAGTGTAAGTTTCATTTGGAGCAAAAAGATAACTTGCGGTAATGTTTTCAGAGCATTATCTTAAAGTAATACGATGTGGAAATGCCAAAATCGTTGTGAGTGAGTGTTGTTGTGATTATCCCTGAAAATGAATCCTTATTCAAATATAAAGAGAAGTGAATAGATGAATAGGACGAATAGTAATGAACCACACAGACATTTCAAAGAATAGTTTGCATTAATAATGTTTTTCCAACTTAATTTCTCTGCGTGCATTATTAGGTCCCAGCCCTAAGTTGTCGCTTTATTTGCGCCTTGTAACAATATGCACTTGGTCTTTATTAAAATGCAAAATATATTGAGAAGAAAACACAAATTCGATCTGCAATTCTCTAATTAGAACGTACAATTTTGTTAGCAGTAGCAGTAAAAGCTTAATATATCTTACCCGCTGTAACGCAGGTAGCTCCAGTAAACCCCGTTGCACATGTACATGTACCGGCCTCCTCACAGGTACCACCGTTCATACACTGGCTGTGTTCATTACAGGCTAAAGAAGGAGAGAAATTACCCTTATATTAATTACAAATCTTACATTGATCGCTAACGACCGAACAGCTCCAAAATCCTGGAATTTAAGAATGGTCTAATTAGATTTGTAAATCTAGAAAGTGTGTAGACTTTTTCACCTTCTTAATGAAAACTCAGGGAAGGGGGGTTGGGGAGGGTAAGTAAATTACAATGACCATCGTGGCATTTATAGTAAAACATCCTTCTTTGTTACTCTTTAGCTTCATCACTAGTTGGTTACGTTGTTTGAATTTGTTCTTTAATATTTTCTATCACAATAATCTAATATTTTCTTTGTGTAGACTTTTTCGGGGAGGGGTTTTGGGGAGCGTGAATAAATTACAATGACCATCTTGACATTTATAGTAAAACATCCCAGTTTGTAACTCTTTAGGTTGATCACTAGTTGGTTATGTTGTTTAAGTTTGATCTTTGATATTTTCTATCAAATAAACTATTATTTTCTTTGTGTAGACTTTTTCGGGGAGGGGGTTTTGGGGAGCGTAAGTAAATTACAATGACCATCTTGATATTTATAGTAAAACCACCAGTTTGTAACTCTTTAGCTTGATCACTAGTTGGTTACGATGTTTAAGTTTGATCTTTAATATTTTCTATCGTGTAATTTGATCACTAGTTGGATACATTGTTTACGTTTTTTCTTTAAAATACTATAGATCTATTTTGTTTGTATCTCTCTGTCATTAAGTATGTATAACGTATACGAATTGTGTTTACAAGTTCTGCCTTGTTATTTATACTTTTATGTTTGTTTATACTCTCATACCCCGAGATGGGTTTAAAGAGTCAATAAAATACCACAGTTCTACAATTCTGCAATTAAGAGGACATTGAGGTATGTTCTTTTATTCGAATGATTATCGCATATTTTCTATCACAAATAAATACGATTGCATATATGGCTAGTAACAGGTGTCTTCTGAAGAGATAGAAGATAAAAAAAAAACAATTTTAACTTTTATTTGAAGCAAAAAGATCCCATTCCTTAGTTTTTACTTCATTTTTGCCTTGTAACAATTTGAACTTTGTCTTTTAAATTTAGAAAGGGGGTTTAAAACAATGATAGTTACGAAATTCATTTAAAGGTTAATGTCACGATATATGTCATTAATGTATGTTCTTCATTCGTAGAATTATCCCTTTTTTTTTTTAAAATAAATATGATGTTTGGCTCGTAACAGTTGTTTTGGACAACATGTAAGCTTGCCTGAGGCTTGCAACTGGCTTCCAAGTATTGTAATTCATTCATTAATAACAATTTAATAAAATAACTCGTTACTAGGTCCCAGGAAAGAAACATCCATCTGGTCTATTTTCTACAACACATTAACACACACTTTCTCCTAAGAACAGTTTCGTAGAACAAAGCGTTGTGTCGGGAACGTCTTCTATCTTTATGAATAAGGACCAGGAATCCAGAACATCGTTGGGCCCCTGTCGTATCGGACGCTCTTTAAAGTCTTTCCCCCTTACCTCTCTTTATCTCTCTCTCTCTCGATTTCATTTCTCCCTTCACCTTCCTTTCTTTTCCTTCTCACCCTTCCTTTTCTCTCTCTTCTTTCTTGCTGATTTTCTTGATTATCCTTTTGTTTCCGCGACAATAATGGGGAAGGACCGCAGCCGATTCGCCCTCTCCCTATCCGCCATTTATTTATGCATATATGTATACAAATTGCGGTGGGTTAAGGTTTCCATTCCATTCAATACGTTGTCGATCTCTTACTCAAGGCAGTGACGGATCCAGGGGGCGGGGGGCCCGAGCACCCTCCCCTGGGAAAAAATACGGTTAAAACACGTTAATTTTACATTTTGAGGGGGATGGGCCCCCTCCCCTGGCGCTCAAGGGGGGTGCGATTTTTCAAAATTTCGACGGCTCCCCCCCAAAAAAAAAAAATGATGCTCACTACTCCCCCCCCCCCCCCCCGCTTATTCACCGGCTGGCTGTTTCGCCGCTAATTATTCTTTCACGAATTGGGCCCCCTCTTGGGCCCCTCCCCTGCTGCCGGCTGGATCCGCCCCTGACTCAGGGTAGCGATCACAAATAAAATCCTCTCTTCTTCTTTTTTACCTTCTTTTCTCTTTCTTTACTTCTTTTTTCTTCCGTCGCTCTCCCATTTTTTTAGGCTGCCAAACTCTGTGGATTGACTGGTGACGTTCTTTATAATTTTAATTCAGTTGTATACACTATAAAGAGACGATGAAATCAAAGTATTCTTACCTGCTCTGGTTCCGTTGAATCCTGCTGACCAAGGTTGATAATCAAGGGAAGCATCCCCCAAAATAGATGAAGAAAGAAACAAGTGTTAGTGTGGTCAAGGAATATGAATGTATTTTTCCACATTAGATCTTTTATCTCTGTTTTTACTTCTCCCTCCCCCCCCCCCCACAAAAAAATTGTCTTGAAGGTCAATGGAAGTCAATACTGATACATTGTTAAGTTACTAATGTTAAATTATTCCTTATTGAGACCTATGTAGAATGTCAATATTATCAGATATGTATTTTGTAAATGTGGTTATGTTATGCACTGTATAAACATAGTAAATAAATAAACTTGAAGTTCTTCTTTTTTTCCTTCTTTTTAAAATGACTTGTTATGGTCGGCGAATCGACCTCACACCCCTCCAGCGGAATTTCTACGCTACAAAAATGGTGGGTTCGGCCTGTTCAGCATTTTGCTCTGTATCTTTCCAAGTATAAAGTATAAAGATATTTAGGAGACAGACCTTGCTCTATTAAACAAAAAATTATGATTTAGAAATGGATAGGTTCGTCAACTATTCTACAACTAATGTCCAACCATTCGGCGTATTTGTAAACTATCCTGTTGTTAATCCTCAACTACTCTTCTTACTATTCTAAAAGGAGCGAATGTCAATCTATTTGCAACTGAAGTTAGATATCCCTCAGTTACACCCGTGAGACCGATCATAGGCCAAACCAACACCGAACCAAAATTACATGACTCCGAATGACCACGAACCAGTTCGTTTGGAGTTGGTTCGAACCCTCTTAGGCGGTGTGACAAAGATGTACACTGTTGGTCATAATGGTGGAATAATTATTTTTACCCCAATTTATTGAATGATTTTGACAATGATTTATTCCTAATAGATCTAGATAATAGTATACATTCTCAGATTTTATTGAATAACAATTGGGGAGTGTTTGTTTTGCGTGACTGCTAAAGCATGTGTGTGCTACTATGCTAATCAACTAGGGTACCTACGTCCTTAAGTCATAACTGACAGTAATGGGGATTAATGCCTCATAAAAGGGCACTAATATAGCACATCGACACGGTTTTCATCATGGGGGCTCACAGTAACGAGGCCATTGCTTAGCCAATGAATCATGACTGTACGCAGCGGGCGCTAGGGTACGTCGACGCCCCCACAAAAACAAAAAACAAAGAAAATGCAATAAATTTTCAATAATTCATTGCATTTTCCCCCAGTCCCCAACAGGAAAAATTCCTCTGTAGGGCCATGCATTATGGTTCAAGACATGCCCACATAGAAAATTTGTTTATGTTGGGGGTCGGGGCAAAATGCAATAAATTATTGAAAAATTATTGCATTTTCTTTGTTTTTATGTTTTTGTAGGGGCGTGGACGGGCGGTGTCAAATGAGACTAAACGGAGCTATGTGGCCGCTAGGTCAAAGGCAGCCGAGCGGTCGCCGCCCAGTCCCCGCTCGGTCGCCGCTGGAAGATCAGTTGGTCACTTGGCGGCAAGTTTAAAATCGGTCGGCGTCCGCGGGTAGCGCCATCTCGATTTACCGCCGCGACTGCCCGATCATGGCTACTGGCAGGGGCGTACGCAGGGGGGGGGGGGGGGGGGGGGTTGGGGGTTTCAAACCCCCCCCCCCTTTGGTATTTTTATGTGTGTAAACCCCCTAAAAAAACCTAACCCCCCCCCCCCCTTTGGTTTTATTTATTTTTATTTTTTTAAATTATTACAATAATTAAAAATTTAAAATTTAAAAAAAATTATACCCACGGCTAAACTAAAAAAGGTGACCTTACCCCCCCCCCCCCCCCAACGAAGAAAAATGTCAAATTTTGACATTTCGAGACCAAAAAAAAAAAATTATACCCACGGCTAACCTAAAAAAGGTGACCTTACCCCCCCCCCCCCCCCCCCCCACGAAGAAAAATGTCAAATTTTGAAATTTCGAGACCAAAAAAAGAAAAAAAAGTTTCCGCTTACCCCCCCCCCCCCCCCCCCCCCCCCCCCCACTGAGCGACTTTTCGGCCGGCGCGATTTTCAAATTCCCCCCCCCCCCCCCTTGAAAAAATCCTGCGTAAGCTCCTGGCTACTGGATACTGCATTTTATTACTGGTGTTATAAACATACAAAAATGGAAACGCTGAATTAACTATCAACCCCGTTTCCTCCCTCTTTCTTTTTTCTATTTTTCTTTTATTTGTCTCCTCCTGTTTTTCTTTTTCTTTCTTTTATCATATCAATTTTTGTACTGTATGTCTTAATTAGGATTTTGCCTTTTTTAAATCGTACTATTTGCATGTACTTTATATGATGTATTTTTATTTGTAAACTCAAGGTGTATCACTTTTGAGTTGTACGTTTTAATTTTTTCAATACACCTTGTCCATTCCATTGAATTTAATTCAATAAATACGTCACGTAACAACACGAGGTGAAATATTTTGGTCACATCTAAATTCGAATTGTAACACGATCTTAAATAGACAGTTTTAAGGAAGCAGATTAAGAGCCATGTGAAAATTCGAATATAAACCTGTCTTACATATTTTCGTTGTGTTGATTATACTTGATTAACGACCAACAAAGTAGCACATTACATCAGCTAGCCTTGCCCTTTTCTGGTCGTATACACGAAGCCTTGCCAGTAACAATTGCCAAAATATTATACAAATATACACTGCCTTGAGAGGTTCTGGTTAAAACTTTGCGCAAGAGGTGACTCCAATAGTTGCTGAGGGGCGCAGCCACGAAGCAAATGTTACTTTTGGAGTCACTGAGGCCCATAGTTTTTTTATATCCTGCATCAAAAATTTATTTTTAAAAATTAAAAAAAACATTTTTGGGAAAAAACAAAAAAAATCGTCAATTTTTATCTAAAAAGATTTAAAATATTTTGTTTTCATTAAATTTAGATTTGAAGGAAAAAAAATGATTCAATTAAAAAAAAAAAAAAAAACTTTTTTTTTTCAACTCCCAAATAGTAAACCAAAATAGTACTCTCATATAGTGCTTTCTAAAAATAGGTCAAATATTTCTGGTCAAGTGACGAGCTCTCAACCAATCAAAAGCCAACAAATTTTTGATGCAGGATATAAATTTGAATATATCTAAACAAAAATAAAACAACAGGGCACATAAGGTGTTTATTTAACGTTACCAAAATAAAGAGATAGTAAATAATTACTTACCTATAATGATTAACATCAGGACCAAGGCAATTGTCTTGTAATACCCCATTCTTGATTATTGTTTGAAACCCTGAAATAGAATAGATACACTGTATATCTTAAAAAGGTCAATATAAAAACATCCCCCCTCTCTCTCTCTCTCTCTCTCTCTTTTTCTCCCTCTCTGTCTGTATCTTTTCGATTCTTTGTTTCTTTCATGTCTATAATTCTGTGCTCTAATGTTTCTAGTTTAAAGAATTACAAAGAGCTGTATCATCAAACGTTTCTGTAGTTAGATAGACTCTTCGATGTAAATTCTCGTCGTATATTGATTTATGATTCAGGGGTTGTCATTTAATTTACAAGTAAGCATTTTATCGAATGTATATAATTTGGTTGTATATACTTTAGCTGTTACGCTGTAAGTCTATGACAACTTCGAACAAATAAATACATTACAGTACAAGAACAAATAAAGCTTACACTAATATTTTTCCAAAATTGTATAAAACGTTAACTAAGACTTGAATTAATTAATTATGGTTTGATTTGATTTGATCAATACCCCACTCGTGAGTTCGATTGCCTCTGTCACCTATTAGCTGTTTTTCAAAGGGGTCCAAGCAAAATAATGAAAATGAAAATATAAATAAAATATTTATAAACAAGCAATCATAGATTATAAATGATGTGCTAAGTAACAAAATAACGGTCATATTACAGAGAAAAAATGCATATGATATATCCCTGACTATGAGATTGAATTTCTTTAAATAGAAGTGAAGGCTATTTTACGTTCTTTAAAACTATGAACATCTATGATGGCCACGTTTTTCAAACGTATCGATTTTTTCGTAAAAGAAACATTGACTATGTTTAGATATTTTATTGAAGTAGATTGCAAAATCGTAAATATGCATTATACTTATGCACCTGAATTAATGGAAGCATTACGATGGAAGCATGACGTGAACTCTAAGAAAGGCCAAGTTCCTACCATAGTGCCTACAATTATTTTAATTTACGAAAGTTTATTGAAAGAATATATTTTTTTAAATAATTGAATGATTAGAATTAACCGGTATTTTGACTAGGGCTGAACACAAGTAAGAAAAAAAAGATATTGCAAACAACGCTTTCTTTTGTCGATACGGTAAATAAATCCATTTTCATATTCCAGTCAGTTATTATTAGGTTTTCTTCTCTGCAAAGACAGTAACTAGACGAAAGTCAACGCAGTTGATACCAGGATGGGGAGAAACCTGCTTTATCTACTTTTTCCTTCAATTCAGTGTTAAAGAAATCGAGCTCCAGATAAAAGCATTCTTAAAGGTAATACAAAGTTTTGTTATGGGGTCATGAATTTGGTTTAAGTGAACATATTGGAAGCATATGCGATCCTACGATATCCAGTGATCGTTGTCGCGGTTGAAATCGAGTCTAAAGTTATGAAATTGTAAATAATAACTCTTTATGTTGTATAGCTCCCTCTCAAGGTCAAGCTATTAATTAAGCTATAAAACGAGGTTTCTCGACTAAAATCGACCGATTAGCTATTCCCGTTTGGAAATTATATATCACAACTACATATTCTGACATTTTCATGGTCACAGCTACCATTGTACGGCCGCAGGCGGTATTTGAAATTTTTCAGAATTTACCGGGAGCACCGGTAAATTTTTATATTCAATTTTTCTCGAAAGCAGAAGTGTTTTAGGGGCTAAATTTTGTAGTGCTTTTAATACATCCACAAGGGCATCCAAATATATCAAAATTGTATGAATCACTTATCCACCCAATTTTCAAAATTTCCCAAAACTTTGTATTACCTTTAAGTAATCTGAGCAGCTTTATATTTACATGTATAAGAAATGTTACAATATCGGGATGCATTGAGGAATTTGTTTCCTTTTAAAGCGTTAACATCTTGAAAGATATATTTATGGCATATTGTGTTATTTAACTTTAAGATTCAGATGAGTGATAATAACAAAAGACGATTGCCAACGTACGTTCAATAAAGAAAATAGGTTCTGAATCGGAATTGTGTGATGGAGATCGAAAGACAGAAATAATTGCAATTACGATTGAATAAAAAAGTATGCATATCTAACACTTTTATTATTTTAAGTATCATAAAATCTAAAGAGATAATTATTACAAGACAACTACTTACAAGTGTAAATGAGAAACCAATAAGAATGAAAATGATAATGGTAATAATACTAAAATTGCACTTACCTCTATTTGACTAAGGTAATGTATGTAATCCCAATAAAACCCGTCCTTATAGACCCTATAGGATTGTAATAAGTGAATATGAGCAAAGATATGATTCTGCACTACTTATATATCACTTCTACCAAAGCAACGCCCCTTTTGTATTGTCATGACTACAGTGTGGGCCACATTTGAATAACCAATCAGAGGCGCACTTTTTTACCTGAAACGAATAAAATATTGACCTATATTGACCATTGGGTTTACAGTTCGTTAAAGCAGTGTTTTATTCCTTCGGCTTTCATGATAATTATGTGTGTATGCAGGGATATTCGGTGACCTTGTTACTGAATTCGTACAAAATGCATGGAGAAAGATATAAGGGTATGGGATGCCTGAGCTAAATGCAAAGAAAAATGAATGCATTACTGCCCATGTATAGACCTTGCAACGGGGTCAAAACCGGAACACGTGTACATGTAAATAATTGTATATACACTGTTGGTCATAATGGTTGAATAATTTGTTTTAAACCCAATTTATGGAATGATTGTGACAATGATTTATTCCAAATAGATCTAGATAATATAGGATTTCCCGGCGAAATTCGCGAGTTTGTCATTCGCATTAATTTACTTTGCATTGAAGTTAGCGCAGATTGGCTTTGCCATGCCAATTATCATTCTTTTAGTATTCAATTAAAAATTTTGGTCGAAGGGTTTCATAGATCTGTCATTTAATTTAGAAACTGCTCAACTAGCATTCAAATTAATCGTCACTTGTCGAGGCGTCATTTTTATCATTCAAATTAACACCTGTTAGGAATGTTAAGGGGAAGAAATGCAACAAACGTTTACAGTTTTTAAAAAATGCAATGAAATGCATGATTTGCCATTAGGGTCTTTTCTGTTATTCCATTTATTAATTTTGAGGACAATGCATATGGGTGTAGTCAGACATTTGGTAAAGAAGGGGCGAAATCAAGGGATATGGCATTTCTGCACGGACATGTTCATATACCCCGGAAAGGTGGGAATACAAAAATACCTGTCCCAGTAACAATATTGTACCCTTCCTCCATAATGAAATTGTGATAAATTTATGATGAAACACAAGACAAACAACTTCCTAACATGAAAATTTACAAAGATATTGAGACCATCAAGTCCGTAGATGTAAGTCTTTTTTTTCTTCTTAAAAAATCAAACTTAAAGGATGAGTAAAGTATATAAAGTGTAAAAATGCAAGAAAATAGAATATGTTTAATACACATGGAAAAAACAATCTTGAAAGAAAGAGAATGAGCTATAAAAAGTGTGTAATAAACGAGAAATATATATTGACCATCAATTTAAGTGCACAAAGTGCTAATTTGAATGCTACAAATGAATTCGAATGCTAAAAGTACACCTTCGCGATGCCAGAAATCGTGTTGCGCCAAATCGAATGACCAAATAGCGACAGAAGCACACTATTCATTAATTTGAATGAAACATACATAGATTCTTACGAAAACTTCATAGATTTGAAAACTAGAAAAAGGAATATAAACCCAAGACATATCTGACAGCACTAAAACCGTCGAATTTGAACGCAAGACAAATTAATTTAAATGACAAACTCGCGAATTTGGCCGGAAAATCCTATAGTATACATTCTCAAAATGTATTGAATAATAATCTGTGGTGTTTGTTTTGCGTGACTGCTAAAGCATGTGTGTGATACTATGCTAATCAACTAGGGGTCCTACGTCCTTAAGTCATAACTGACAGTAATGAGGATTAATGCTTCATAAAAGGGCACTAATATAGCACATTGACACGGTTTTGATTCTGGGGGCTCACAGTAACGAGGCCATTGCTTAGCCAATGAATCATAACTGTATACGCAACGGGGGCTAGGGTACGTCGCCGCCCCCACAAATACAAAAGAAACAAAGAAAATGCAATAAATTATCAATAATTCATTGCAATTTGCCCCGACCCCTAACATAAACAAATCCTCTATGTGGGCATGCCTTGAACCATAATGCATGGCCCCCTACAGAGGAATTTTTCCTTTTGGGGACCGGGGGAAAATGCAAACTCTCCACAACCTCTCCTTAATATAATTTAACTCGGAATTAGTTTTGGTTCAAAGTTGGAAACATTTAGATCTTCCTGGTCCTATTCAAATAAATGGTATCGAACCAGAATATTCATAAATCATGTTAAAAGTACATTTCCTTTACCGGTGTTATCATCACTATATACAATGAACCCTAATAAAGCCTCCTTTACACATGGAGCAGTAAACTACCTCAAAATTATTCTTTTCTTCATTAGAGAGATGCATCGATCTTCTCACCCTACACGCTTCAAGCGCATATTGTGGTAGACATGGTTTGTACAATGATTTGTGCGGCCAATTTTACACTTTTTTCATTCAAGTTCATATTTCAAGCATTCTAATTCGCGCGCGCATTTGCAGCGTTGACTCAGCTTTCAAATTCAAAATCCGTTCATTCGAAATCACTATCCGTGCAATCATTCAAAATGTATTACCAAGATATGGCTAAGATAAGAAAATGTCAAACGTGATGTTTACTTTTTGGTCGACTCGGGTGTACATAATATGTCTGAGTATTGTGAAATTGTGTATGCTTATCTTAGGATGGGTGAATTATACTTGTTCTTGTAGGGGATGTATCCGAGTTTAATGTTGTATGATTACATCAGCAAAGTGTATCTTTATAGGTGATGTATTTTGATCCATATGTGAATGGTATTCAGCTTATCATTTCTGATTAGGCCTAGAAAAAGAAAGGGAAAAAAAAAATTTAAAGAAAGATGGGGAGCTGGTAAAAAAAGAAAAGAGGAGAAAGGTTGAGGGAGAGAGATTGGAGAGAGACAGAGAGTGAGAGAGAATGGGGAGAGGGTGACATGGGATAGAGAGAGAAAGCGAGAGAGAGAGAGAGAGAGAAGGAGAGAGAAAGGATGGGAGAGGGACAGAGATTGGGGAGAGAGAGAGGGGGAAGGGAGAAGGAGAGAGAAAGGGTGGGAGAGGGAGTATATATATATTTAAAAATTTCCCCAGTACTATAGCAGAAATCACCTCCAAATCACTAGTTTTTTGGTTTTAACATTTTATCAATGTTTCCAATTTTTTAGAATATGTATATATATTGAAAGAAATGTGTAGTACGGGATATTCATGAATATACATAATTAGCGATATGATAATCAAATACATGATCAAAAGGCAAAAAAAGACAGATAAACAAAGTACATTAACTAAACTGTTGAGATTTCATTGTGAAACAATGATTAACAATAATTCCAAGTATTCTATTTCAGGCAATGAAAGTTTCCTTTTTATTTACGATATCTCTCTAAATATTGCACTAATTTGAATGTACGAAGTAGGAAATTGTACGCACATTCGTGAATTTGATTTCACCGAATATGAGTAGAGAGTGCCGATTAATGATTTTGGATTTGAATGCCCGAATTGACCTGCGAGCGACCTCTTTGTGAATTGGAATGAAAAAATTGCGAAACCGGCCGCAAAAACGTATACTAAAGTGTGATTGAAGGTAGTGACCGAGCGGAAAATAGCATCGTGGAAGTTTAAAGTGTATTTTGGAGCACTTAAAAGCTTATCCGTACTGCAACATTAATAAATACAATTGTGTTGTTGTCTTGCAGGGCGAACGGGGGTTAAACAAGTTAATCAGGTTATACAAGAATCACTACATGAAATGAAGTGAGAGGGAGCGTAAAGACAAATTGTCACTTTGAAAATGATACCAAGAACATGTTTATTATTATAATATTGGTTAGCATGCGTGAATTTGAAAGGTATTGAGTGAGTGATGTCACAGGATAGTTTTGCACAGAAGTGATGTATAGTTCTAATGCAAATTCGTATAAGTACAATGCGAAGAAACACAACAAACAATAAATGACTCAGTTCCAAGAAATGTGATATTTAATTATGTTTTTTTATTCACCTTTCAACATTTTATGCAACCTTGAATGAGATATGCGTCCATTATTAGCCCTTTTTTTTTTTAATAGGACAATAGGATTAAAAGACCAACAAGAAATGAAAGCGGAGAGAGGTTCAATTAATGGTCATTCATTATGTTGATGCAAAGATTCCACTCTCGTGTGCAACTAATTGTCTACATTGTTGGTTCAGTGTTTTTGTTCAGTGATCCCAGGTTCTATGATCACAAATGCATAGAACCATTATGATATGGAACACGAATTTCTTTGTTAAGATGTATTACCGTGTATGTAGTTATGGTTGCCAAGATGTTGCTGGAGAAAGTTCTGGTGCTCTTTTGATAAACGCATAACCCCGTGCATAACAAGTGATCTCCATACATTCGTTTCGATGTATTTTAAGGGTTTAGGTGCAACTACTTCTTCGGTCTGGTAGATACTGGAAGGTTTTACATTTATTTTGGTATCATTAACAAGAGCCGCAGATAAACAACTAAACCGGGATTTGACAGGTATAGAATGCAAATATTCAACACATTGGACCTCCATATAAAGTCCTATCTGAAGGACTGATTTATTTCACAATGAATACTTACAAAACAGTTGTAAAGCACTCTTCCACGTAACACATCCTTTCAATTTGACGTAGGGCTCACTCAACCATGATCAACTTATGGAAGGAATAAATGTTTAGTTCATTTGTTTTATCTGACTGTTAAAAATCATATGTATGTTTTGTAATGTAAGCAACCAATGGCTTTAACTCCTCTCCGAATGACTGTTTAATGACGATTAATGCCTTATATTTCATATTGTAACATTATATGGGCAAATTCGAAAAGCAACGTTGACGCCATTTTACTGTTACAAAAGAAAGCCATGCGCATATGTACTGATTCTTCCTATCGCGACCACACCAATCCCTTGTTTTCAAAACTAAAAACTCTAAAAGCTGATGATATAAATATTCTACAAATATCACTTTTCATGTTTCGCTTACAAAATGGTCTACTACCTTCATACTTTCCCCCATTCTTTAATTTGAATAAAACCA